GGCTCGGCACCCAGCTGTGCCCCGTTCCCTGCAGCCTCCGATCCTGCTCAGCTCTTCACTGCCATCTCTCCACATTTTCCCATTGCTCACAGTTTGATTCCTCCTTGCATGCGTGGAGATGAACGACCTTAGCCAGTGGCTTTCCCTGGAGGTCTGGAGACGCCCCCACTGGGGTCAAGCCTCTCGTGCTTGCTAAAGGCAGTGGACTGGGCACCTAGCTACAATGGGATGGTGGTGCCAGCCCTGCAGAGCTCCCCAGACATTGCCCCATGGGCAGAGCTGTTCCAGGAGGGTTATTGCAGCCAGGAACTGGGCAAAGGTTGGGAAAGTTGGGTGGAGCACTGTGCTTTCTGCAGCTCTGCTGGGTGCCGTGAGGGACATCTACCTTGGCTTGGAGAAAAACCCCTGGGGGGCCCCCTGCCCCCTGGGGGACCTCTCTCTCAGATGGGGCTCCCCTGGGGCTGCAGCCACCCCAGCCTCACCGGCTATGCTAGGGGCCTCCTGACTTCCCTCATCACTCTGCTCCTCCTACAGCTGGGCTCAGGTAAGATCCTGTGGGGCTGCTGGGGGCCCCTGTGAAGGCACACATGCTGCTGTGGGACAGGGGAGCGGCTTTGGGAAGGGGGGTCTGGAGCCCACAGCTCGCCCATGTTGGGTTTCACTTTCACTTTGGTTCTTTCACGCAACATGGCTGCTGCCTTGCCTGCCCTTTCTGTGTCTCCTTCACCCACCTAAATGCTGCAGAGAGGGATCCCACTCCCAGCACACCTCCTTTTCCTATATGTCCTCCCTGTGTTTCTCCTCTTTCCCTGGTGTTTTCCCACGATACACAAGGGACGCAGCACGCACCAACTCACGCACAGCTCCCCCTTTGACACTCATTGCCCCTAAATTTACAATGGCAAAATCTCACCACCTCTTTGTGCCCTTCTCCATTGCCCAGCCCAGCTCAGAGTGGTGGGACCAGGACACCCTCTCACTGCCATTCTTGGGCAGGACGTCGTGCTGCCCTGCCACTTGTCCCCTCAACGCGATGCTCGCAGCTTGGAGGTCAGGTGGATTCGGCACAGGTTACCTGAGACAGTGCACCACTACCACAATGGAGAGGACCTGTACGGGGAGCAGATGGAGGCATATGCCGGGAGGACAGAGTTGGCCAGAGATGGTCTCTCTGTTGGAAACCTGGACTTGCGAATCATGGGGCTGAGACCCTCTGATGATGGCCAGTACATCTGCACTGTGGGAGATGCTGATGCTTATGCTGAAACCATAGTGGAGCTGGAGGTGTCAGGTTAGTGGCTGGGGTGATACATCCAAGGGGTGGTGCAGGTGTCCCTGGGTTTGTGTGTCCCACCCAGGACCCGGTCCCATCCTCATGGCCACCTACGTGCCCTTTCGAACTGTAGAGTGTGATGAGCCTTCTCCTCTGTCAGTGACCACTTGTCCACCAAGAAGTACACCTGTGCCCTTGCAGGCTTTTTATTGAGAGAGAGCTGCATGAATGCAATGATTTAATTCAGTCTCAGGGACCCTATTTGAACTCCATCCCCATGGTGTTGTGTGGGCAGTGGGCACAGGTTTCTGAGCAGGTCCTTCAGCTGTGCCAACAATAGGTGCGGGTTAGGGGTGAGAGTGGCTCCTTGAAGCGTCCAGTCCCTGAGCCCCTGGGGACATGGCTTGTCTGTGCTGTGTCTGGCATGGGAGCAGATGGGGTCTTTGCCTTGGAACTGAATTCCTCCCCAAGTCAAGCCCCAAACACGCGCTCTTACCCCAGCCACAGGCACTGACCCCCACCTCTCCCTGGGGGGCTACGAGGCCGGAGGCGTCCGGGTGCTGTGTCGATCGGCCGGCTGGTACCCGCTGCCGCAGCTGCTGTGGAGGGATGCTCGCGGGCAGCACCTGCCCTCGGTCTCCCAGACACATTCCCAGGACCAGGAGGGGCTCTTTGAAATCGAAGGCACCGTCATCGTGACCGGGAGCGTGGAGGGGCCCTTGTCCTGCGTGGTCAGGAACAGCTGCCTCGAGGAGGAAAAGGAATCATCCCTGCACATTGCAGGTACAAATGGCACAGCCAGGGTGAGGTGTTCCTGGCCCCTGCACTTGTCCTGAGCTGCGAGAAGTCTGGGTCTTGCTCTTCCATCCATGGACATGTAAACACAGCCCTTTTCCTGGTGCCTTTTCTCAGTTCCCTTCTTCCACAACACCCAGCCCTGGATGGTGGCTCTGGCTCTGGTCCTCGTGCTTTTGGCTGTGTCCATTGGCCTCAGTGTTTATCTCTTCCGAAAGCAAGGTAAGCTGGCAGCGCAGGGATGGAGCGCAGGGAGGTGTTCTGCGGGGACCCTTCTTGGGTCTGGAGCAGGGCTGAGCCCTGGCCCAGGGAGACGCGTAGAAAGAGGAAGGGAATGTTCTCCTGGGGATGCCAAAGGCCTTAGGATGGTCTTGGGCCTTTGTCTTGGGCAAGGAAGGCAGGGGAGAAGGCAAGGGGCCTTGGCTGGGAGGCCAGGGAGCATGGCTGCAGCATGGGGCTGGTGGCAAGGTGCAGCCCCCCTGCACTTGTTCCCACCCAGCAACCAAGCTGCTCTGCTCACCACCTGTTCCTCCGCCTTTGCTTTTCAGCGGCACAGAGCCGAGAGCTGGGAGAGTCCTTGCAGTCCCTGCCCCCAGCCCCTGGGAAGTGGTGTTGTCCCTGTGGGAGGGCCTGGGCTGGGTGGGCTCTGAGGGCTTGTGTGCTGGTGGCTCGGGGGTGCTGGAGGAGCAGCTGGAGCCTGGGGTGGGAGTGGGGAGTGCTGGGGCTGGGGCTGCCCTGGGCATGGGGCACGGCCAGGATGGCTGAAAGGAACGGGGATCAAGGTGGGGACGGGGAGCGAGCTGCGGGGCTGCCCCGCTCTGCAATGACGCTTCTGGGACAGGAACGGAATATCCTCCAACAATCTTTTTTTCATTTCGGTAATGTCTACGGTACCACTGGGATATAATCTGCACAAGTGTCTGTGTTTCCAGATGCACTAAGAGCATTGTTCATAGCTGGACCACTATGTTTTTGGTCCCACCTTGGAACAAGGCTGTATTATCCCAGTCATGGGATGTGTTCAGGGTCTAACAGAGGCTGAACAACTCTCCCTCTGATCATGCATTACTTTCACTTTCCTTTTCAGAGAAACAAGCTGCAGAGCTGGGTGAGTGTCCTGGTGCTTCGACACATGGCTATGCCAAGGCAATGTGAGGGAGGGTGGGCAGCTGGGACAGAGCAGCCCAGGGCTGGCCCCTCACCCTGCCCACACTCACTGGGCACCAGCCATGGGCTGTGATCAGCTCTCCCCTCTCCTTCCAGCATGGAGACGGTGTCTACTGCCTCATAATAGAGGTAGGTGTGCATTGGGTAGCCCTCTGAAGTGCTTCTCCTGCCCCTGGTGGGGCATGTTCAGGAGCCAAGAGGTGCCCCATCTCCTGCCCCGTGGGACAGCTCCTGGCCCCGAGCTGGAGAAAGCCTGCCCAGGGCTGAGCTCTGCCCCTGATGGCCTGGCTCCTTCTGTCCCTGCAGTGAAGGTGACCCTGGATCCACACACGGCTCATCCCTGGCTTGTGGTGTCTCAGGACAACAGCAGTGTGAGATGCGGAAGTGAACGGCAGAAGGTCCCTGACACACCAGAGAGATTTGACTGTCAGTGCTGCCTGCTGGGCTGTGAGGAGTTCAGAGAGGGGAGACACTGCTGGTTGGTGGAGGTGGAGGGAGAGCGGCTAAAGTATTCACGGTGGGCTGTGGGGGTGGCCAGGGCTTCTGTGGAGAGAAAGAAGTGGATCAACATAATCCCTGAAGAAGGGATCTGGGCTCTGCAGTACTATGAGGGGCAGCTCAAGTCTCTCACATGGCCTCCCACTCCCGTGTCCCTGTCCCATGTTCCCACAAGGATTTGGGTCTGTCTGGACTGTACCCAGGGGCAGGTGTCTTTTATCAATGCTGACAATGGGGTCCAGATCTTCACTTTCAGAGCAGCCTCCTTCAATGGGGAGACCATCCACCCCTGGTTCCTGTTGTGGACACGGGGAATTCAGCTGTGCCTGAGAGACAGCACACTACCGACCCCATCCCGAGGCCTTGGGACCTCCTGCCCTTCTCCAGACACTCCTGCATCACCTCTCCTTGATCCTGCAGGAGCAGCAAAGGAATGAGGGGCAGGGGTTCCCTGCATTCCTCCCTGCTGCTGGTGGAGGGCTGGGATGCTGCAAGCAGGAACCAGGCCCCTTGCAGCCCCTGGGCTCTGCCCTACCCAGGACTCCTGGACTGGGGCACAAGCCCTGCTGGCACCCACGGGTCTCACCCTGCCTCTGAGCCCCAGCAGGCAGCACAGGGGCTGCAGCAGCTCTCCACGCTCCTCTCCCCTCTGCTTGCACTTCTTGCAGACCCCAGGGCAAGGGATGTGGTCACCGTGTGCTGCCGGCCATTGCAGGCCACCTTTGCCTCCTAGGTTGGGGTTGATCCATGCTCTGTGCCTGGTGCTGAGCATGAGCAGCCTGTGGGGGCTCTGTGTTCCCTCCTCTGGAGCACATCTATGCAAGATGCAGCAGCAGGACTGTGGCAAATAAAGTTTTGTACAGGAAGATGGAGTCTGGCAGTGGCATTTCCTGGGTGCTTTGTGTCCTGAGGCCTTGCTGCCTGGGAAGGTGTCTTGCAGCAGACCGTCTCCTCACACGCCTTGCCCTGCAGAGCCTTCGCCGTCCTCGTAGCCCTCCCTTGGAGGCTCTCGCACAGTTTCACGCCCTTCGTCTGCTGCGGTGCCCACAGCTGCACGCAGTGCTCGAGGCGAGGCCGCAGCAGGCCGAGCAGAGCGGGATGATCCCTTCCCTCGGCCGGCCAACAGTGCCGTGCCTGAGGCACCCCAGGGCACGCTTCGCCCTTTGGGGTCCCATGCCATGGCCCCCCCACACCCGCTAATCTTGGTGAGACACTGTAGGAGTGCGTGACCCTCTGCCCTGTGCCCAGAACTCTTCACAGACACCAGTGGGGCTTGTGGAGCATCTTTATTGTCAGCACCATGACATTGGGTCTGAGATGGGGCCAAACGGGAGCCACCGGTGCCAGGAGGTGTCCGTCTGGGGGTCCTCAGATGCTGCCTGGGGAAGGGGGGGACACACAGGGTGAGAGATGGGGAAATTTGCCCCTCACTGATGTGGACGGGGATGGGGACACCGTTACCTGCGGGGTAGTTGTCTCCAGGGAGGGGGGTGTAACCTGCGGGGGAGAGAAGAGGAGTGAGCAGAGTCCTCGACGCCCTTGACCACGGCCCCGGTTCTCCCCGGACACTCACCCGGGGCGGGAGGACTGGCCCTGAAGCGGTAGATGCCGGCGAGAAATAAGCCAAGTCCCAGCACCATCAGCACGGTGGCCACCGCCACCAGTATCATCACCTCCGGCATCAGTCCGGGACCTGTGGGGACACGGCCGGGTGAGTGGCAGCAAGGTGCCAAGACCGCCGGCCTCCGGGTGCGGTCCTGCGCCTCTCCACTCACTCCAGTCCTCCAGGAGAGGCTCCTGCAGGCTGACGTGCTGCACCGAGCACATGTAGGTGTCGCCTGCCACCGGGGCCACCAGCAGGGACACCTTGCTCTGGTAGCTCCAGTCGCCATTGGGGATGGCAGAGATGGGGTTGTAGTCGTCGGGCTCCACGATGTCCCCGTTGTGCAGCCAGATGACGGTCACCTCGGGGGGTAGAAGCCCCAGATGTGGCAGCTGAGGCAGACGGGCACACGGGCGTTCCCCATCTCCGCGGGGATGATGCGGACTTGGGGCTGCACTGGAGCAGGGATGGGGATGGGGGTCAGTGGTGGGCGAGCCCCTTTTCCCTGCCCTATGCAACGTCCTCACGCAATGTTGTGCAATGCTCTCGTGCAAAGCTCCACACAACTTCCCCATGCCACTTCCCCATGCAACGCCCTGTGCAAGCTCTAGGCCTTGTCCTGTGTGATATCACGTGTGACATCCCCATGCGATGCCCTGTGCAACACCCCTGTGCCACACCCTGCAAGAGGCATTGCTCTGTGCAACATCCCCTTGCAATGCCCAATGCAATGTGCTGTGCAGTGCTCCGTGCAACATCCCCCTGTGATGTTCTCACGCAGCGTGCTCTGCAACATCCCCATGCAATGCCCGGTGCAACATCTCCTTGCAACATGCTCTACAACACCTCTGGGTAACTACTGGGGCAGCAGACTGGGGGCTGCGCTGGAGCAGGGATGCGGATGGGGTCAGTGGTGGGCGAGCCCCTTTTTCCTGCTCTGTACAATGTCCCCACGGAATGTTCCGTGCAACGCTCCCATGCAACACTCCTGTACAAAGCTCTAGGCATTATCCCACGCGATGTCAGGTGTGACATACCCATGCGATGCCCTGTGCAACGCCCTTGTGCCACACCCTGCAAGAGGCATGGCTATCTGCAACATCCCCTTGCAAAGGGCAATGTAATGCGCTGTGCAGTGCTGTGTGCAACATCCCCCTGCGACATCCTCACGCAGTGTGCTCTGCAACACCCCCATGCAATGCCTGGTGCAAGTGCAACATCTTGCCGAGGTGATCAGCTCCAGAGCAAACCCTTTCTGCAGCAGAGCAGGGGATCGGACAGGCAGGGCTATATTTTTCTAGCATCAAGCCCACTTGTGGGAGATGCCAGGACCCAGCAGCCCTTACCACAGAGGATGACAAGGCTTTGGCAGAGCCAGCAGGGCCCCCTCCTTGGCAGTTCAAAAGCTGCCCCTGGGGAGCAAGACAACCAGGAACGCAGCGATCCGGGAGGGCAAACAGGGCATGGCGCATCAGAAGGGAGTGGGAGGCAATTCATGCAGGCAGGGCAAGAAGGGAGGGCAGAGCGTTCCCCCCCGGACCATATGAACAACTCCTCTAAAGGCGGTCTACCACTAGCTAGGCTGCAATGGTCTCCACCAGGCACAGTGCTCTCTCTAGCAAGTCTATACACACCCAGACTGACTGCCCGCTCAAAAATGCACCAGTTCAGGTCTCTGGGTGCAGGGAGCGTCTGAGCCTCTTGCTGCCATCTGCGGGAGGCAGAGAGACTGTGTGTGCGTGAGGTGCGAGCAGGTGGATGACCTGGTCTGCCTGGTGGCAGAACTCAAGGAGGAGGTGGAGAGGTTGAGGGCTATCAGGGAGTGTGAGTGGGAGATAGAGTGGTGGGGAACTCCCTGCAGATCCTGAAGGAGAGGTACCAGGGTGAGACACCCCAAATGGGGGTGGACCCCCTCCCCTGTCGCTGTTGGGCAGAGGGAGGGGACCTAGGAGTTGAGGAAGAATGGAGACAGGTCCCTGCTCCACATCGCAGGCGATGACACCCCATAGGAGCCCCACCTTCCCAGGTGCACTTCCACAACAGGTTTGAGGCCCTGGAGCTTGAGAGAACAGTAGCTGAGGAAGAGGTAGAAAGTGTAGCCAGGAGGATGCCTAGGGTGAGGAAGTCGACTCCACGCCTCAGGACTGCCTCCACCAGGACAGAAAGAAGGGAGATTGTTGTAGGCGACTCCCTTCTCAGGGGAACAAAGGGCCCTAATTGTCAGCCTGACACTAGCTGTAGGGAAGTTTGCTTCCTCCCTGGTGCCAGGGTAAAGGAAATTGCCAGAAAACTTTCCAACCTCGTTTGCCACTCTGACCTACTATCCCCTTTGATAGTCCAGGCTGGCAGTGACGACATTGAAGAGAGAAGCCTGAAGGCTATCAAACGGGACGTTAGGGGACTGGGGCGGTTAGTGGATGGAGCAGGAGTACAGGTGGAGCAGATCTCCACACTGCAGCCCATGGAGGAGCCCCATGTGCAGGAGGTGGATGGGGCCTGGTGGAGGCTGCAGCCCATGGAGAGCCCCTGTAGGAGCAGGCCCCAGTCTGGAGCCACAGCCCGTGGAGAGGAGCCCACAAAGGATCAGGTGCTCTGGGGGGAGCTGCCACCAGTGGGCGACCTAGTTTGGAACAGTTTGCTCCTGACAGATGTACCCCATGCTACAGACCCATACTGGGGCAGTTGCTGGAGAGCTGCTGCCTGTGGGAAGCCCATGTAGGATCAGTTTGGGAAGGACTGCATCCCATGGGAATAGTAGTTGACTCGGATGAGAGTGGAAAGCCCTTGCAGGGAGATCTGGACAGACTGGAGAGCTGGGCAATCACCAACTGCATGAAGTTTAACAAAGGCAAGTGCTGGGTCCTGCACCTGGGATGGGGCAACCCTGGCTATAGGGACAGACTGGGGGATGAGACACTGGAGAGCAGCCCTGCAGAGAGGGATCTGGGGGTTGTGGTTGACAGCAAGATGAACATGAGCCAGCAGTGTGCCCTAGCAGCCAGGAGGGCCAACCGTATCCTGGGGTGCATCGAACACGACATTGATAGTCGGTCGAGGGAAGTGATTGTCCCTCTCTGCTCTGCGCTCTGCGGCCTCACCTCGAGGACTCTGTGCAGTTCTGGGCACCACAGCACAAGAAGGACCTGAAACTATTGGAGAGTGTCCAGAGAAGAGCCACAGAGATGGTGAAGGGCCTTGAGGGGAAGACGTATGCCTTCAGCCAGTTCTCTTAGTACTCTGGAATGAATCCCATCAGGCCCTATAGTCTTGTATGCATTCATCTGGAGCAGCAAATCCCACACAAATTCAGGGTTTGTTGGGACTTTATCGTTCCTGCAGTCACTGTCCTCCAGCTCAGGGCACTTGGGGTCCCACAGCCCAGTGATGATGAAGGCAAAGGCAAAGAAAGCAATAAACATCTCTGTGAATGACCCTGTCTGACCATCCCCATCAAGTAACAGACCAATGCTTTCTCTCATCCTACTTTTGCTGTTAAGATAGTTTAAAAAAAAAAAAAAAAAAAACTTTTATTGCCCCTCACATTACTTTCCAGCCTCAACTCAAATTAAGCTTTGACCATATGAATTTTCTCCCTACAAAGGCAAACAGTACCTCTGCAGTCCTTCCATATTGACTGACCTTGCCTCCAGCAAACAGAAACTTTCCTTATCCACCTAAGCTCTAGAAGAAGGTCCCTGCCCATCTGAGCAAACCTTCTGCCATGGCTGCTTTACTGGAGCCGGGAGAGGCACTGGCACTTTGCCTTCAGCACCCTGGGCAAAGGGCGGCAGCTCTGGGCTCGCCAACCAGCTGCGCCCCATTCCCTGCAGCCTCCGATCCTGATCAGCTCTTCACTGCCATCTCTCCACATTTTCCCATTGCTCATAGTTTGATTCCTCCTTGCATGCATGGAGGTGAGCGACCTTAGCCAGTGGCTTTCCCTGGAGGTCTGGAGAGGCCCCTGCTGGGGACAAGCACCTCGTGCTTGCCAAAGGCAGTGGACTGGGCACCCAGCTGCAATGGGATGGTGGTGCCAGCCCTGCAGAGCTCCCCAGACATTGCCCTAGGGGCAGAGCTGCTCCAGGAGGGTTATTGCAGCCAGGAACTGGGCAAAGGTTGGGAAAGTTGGGCGGAGCCTTGTGCTTTTTGCAGCTCTGCTGAGTGCCGTGAGGGACATCTACCTTGGCTTGGAGAAAAACCCCTGGGGGGCCCCCTGCCCCCTGGGGGACCTCTCTCTCAGATGGGGCTCCCCTGGGGCTGCAGCCACCCCAGCCTCACCAGCCATGCCAGGGGCCTCCTGACTTCCCTCGTCACTCTGCTCCTCCTCTGGCTGGGCTCAGGTAGGATCCTGCAGGCTGCTGGGGGCTCTTCCCCTGAGCCTGGCAGACTTGCTGCTGTGGGGCAGGGGAGTGGCTGTGTGACAGGGGGGACCCAAGCCCATACCTCAGCCCCCATTTTTTTTCCCTTCTTTTTGGTTCTTTCACACGATACGGGTTCTGCCTTGACTGCCATTTTTGGCTCTTCTTAACCAGCCCAAATGCTGCAGAGAGGGCTCCCACTCCCAGCACACCTCCTCCTGCATGCCCTCCCTCTCCCTCTCCTGTTTCCTGGGTGGTTTCCCATGGGACACGGGGGACACAGCATGCACCAACTCACGTACCAACTCACACCCTTTGTCATTCACTGACCCTAAATTTACAATGGCAAAATCTCACCTCCTCTCTGTGTCCTTCTCCATTGCCCAGCCCAGCTCAGAGTGGAGGGACCAGGACACACTGTCACTGCCACCGTGGGGCAGGATGTCATGCTGCCCTGCCACTTGTCCCCTCAACGCGACGCTCGCACCCTGGAGGTAAGGTGGATTCGGCACAGGTTATCTGAGACAGTGCACCACTACCGCAATGGAGAGGACCTGTACGGGGAGCAGATGGAGGCATATGCCGGGAGGACAGAGTTGGCCAGAGATGGTCTCTCTGCTGGAAGACTGGACTTGCGAATCATGGGGCTGAGACCCTCTGATGATGGCCAGTACTTCTGCACTGTTGGAGATGTTGATGCTTATGCTGAAACCATTGTGGAGCTGGAGGTGTCAGGTTAGTGGCTGGGTTGGTGCTTACACGGGAATTTTTACATGTCCTTTGAATGTTTCAGCTGTTTCACAGCATGGAGCATGCCCATGCATGTGGAGGTAATATTTGGGGAGAGAGCTCCCTGGATAGTTTTCCGAGTTTACTCTGGTGTTCTTTGAAGACAATAATATTAATATTGTGAGGGCATTGGGCACAGGCTGCTGAGCAGCACCTTCAGCTGTGGTAGCAATGGGACCAAGCACCACACAGGGAGAATCGCAGAGTCCTCTGAGCAGCTGAACGTCTGCTTTACTTTTGCTTTCTGTGCTGGAGCAGACCTGAGACGTTGTCAGTAAGTCTTGGGGCTTCTTGACCCAGCACGGCTTGGTGCAGAGACGCTGCCTGGAAGTGCTGGATATCTGCACCTGGGTTTTATGGACAATATGGTGTCACTGACATTTTGCAGCCCTTCTGTCTGTTTCTCGCACCAGCCAGGGTGGATTGGGGTGAGGGTGGGAACATGGAACACCTGGAACAATGAGCCGCTGGTGCCACAGCTCTGCTAAGCTCTGTCTTGGGAGCAGATGGGGTCTTTGCCTTGAAATGAATCCCTCCCCAAGTCAAGCCCCAGACACAAGCTCTTCCCCCAGCCACAGGCGCTGACCCCCACCTCTCCCTGGGGGACTACGAGGCCGGAGGCGTCCGGGTGCTGTGTCGATCGGCCGGCTGGTACCCGCTGCCGCAGCTGCTGTGGAGGGATGCTCGCGGGCAGCACCTGCCCTCGGTCTCCCAGACACATTCCCAGGACCAGGAGGGGCTCTTTGAAATTGAAGGCGCTGTCATCATGACCGGGAGCGTGGAGGGGCCCTTGTCCTGTGTGGTCAGGAACAGCCGCCTCCAGCAGGAGCGGGAATCATCCCTGCACATTGCAGGTACAAATAGCACAGCCTGAATTGAGGTGTTATTGGCCCCTGCACTCGTCCTTAGCTGGGAGAAGGCTGGGTCTTTCTTTTATAATCCCAGCCATGTAAACGCAGCCCTTTTCCTGGTGCCTTTTCTCAGTTCCCTTCTTCCACAACGCCCAGCCCTGGATGGTGGCTCTGGCTCTGGTCCTCGTGCTTTTGGCTGTGTCCATTGGCCTCGGTGTTTATCTCTTTCGAAAGCAAGGTAAGCTGGCAGCACAGGGATGGAGCGGAGGGAGGTGTTCTGCAGGGACCCCCCTGGGTGTGGAGCAAGGGGACTTGGGTGGGAGGCCAGGGAGCATGGCTGCAGCATGGGGCTGGTGGCAAGGCGCAGCGCCCCTGCACATGTTCCCACCCAGCAACCAAGCTGCTCTGCTCACCACCTCTTCCTCCGCCTTTGCTTTTCAGTGGCACAGAGCCGAGAGCTGGGTGAGTCCTTGCAGTCCCTGCCCCCAGCCCCTGGGGAAGTGGTGTCCGTGTGGGAGGGCCTGGTCTGGGTGGGCTCTGGGGGCTTGTGTGCTGGTGGCTTGGGGGTGCTGGAGGAGCAGCTGGAGCCTGGGGTGGGAGTGGGGAGTGCTGGGGCTGGGGCTGCCCTGGGCATGGGACACGGCCAGGATGGCTGAAAGGAATAGGGATCAAGGTGGGGACGGGGAGCGAGCTGCGGGGCTGCCCTGCTCTGCACTGATGCTTCTGGAACAGGGACATCCTCCACCCGCCCCCATTCACTTCCCCTTGTGTTTTGTTGGCACGGTGCAGAGAGCTGCACAAGTGTCTGTCCTTAATCCTACAAGTCTTGCAAGAAGAGGGGCCTCAGTCTTTGTTAGTCTGGTTACTACATGTCTGGGAGCAAGTTGGTCTGTGCACATGCTGAAGAGCAAATATAATTGGGGTCTACCCATGGAATTAGCAATGTAGTGAAAGTCTCTCCACTCTGACCATTCATTCCTTTTGCTTTATATAACAGCGAAAAAGGATGCAAAGCTGGGTAAGTCTCCTTCCCCGAAGAGAAGGCATTTGGCGTCTTCCCATGGGCATACTCCCCTCTGACCGTACATTGTTTTTCTTTTTCTTTTCCAGGGAAACAAGCTGCAGAGATAGGTGAGTGTCCATCCATGAACTGAAAGAATTTGTGGTATAGACATGGGATGAGAAGTTTTTCCCTCTGATCATGTATTCCTTATGCTTTTCCAGAAGAAAAAGCTGAAAGACTGGGTGAGTCTCTCTTTCCCTGCCCTCTACCCCCAGGACTGAAGGAACTGGGGGTCATTCCTTTGTAGCAGCCACTTGATAAGAACCCGATTCCTCTCATCAATGCATTGCTCTTATTTTCCTTTTCAGAGGAACAAGCTGCAGAGCTGGGTGAGTGTCCCTGCATTTAAGCCCCAGGGCAACACCAAGGCGATGTGCAGGGGAGGGTGGGCAGCTGGGACAGAGCAGCCCAGGGCTGGACCCTCACCCTGACAGGAGAGCGGGGAGTGCTGGGGCTGGGCCTGCCCTGGGCACGGGACACAGCCAGGATGGCTGAAAGGAACGGGGATCAAGGTGGGGATGGGGAGCCAGCTGCGGGGCTGCCCCGCTCTGCACTGATGCTTCTGGGACACGGACGTCCTCCACCCGTCCCCATTCACTTCCCCTTGTCTTTTGGTGGCACGGTGCAGAGAGCTGCACAAGTGTCTGTCCTTAATGCTCCACGTGCTCAAGCCTTGCTCAAAGCTGGGTCTTGCTCCCTGTTAGTCTGGTCCCTCCCAGTCTGAGAGCAAGACTGTCTGTGCCCATTCACCAGGACAAAGAATTTTGGGGTCTAGCCATGGAATAAGTCATGGAATTTGAAGCACTCCTCTCTCATCATGCATTGCTTTTGCTTTCCTTTTCCAGTGAGAAAAGAAGCAAGGATGGGTAAGACTATCTTAATAAACCCAAAGACTTGGCAGCTTCCCATGGCAGCAGCCATGGGCTGACCAACTCCTCCTCTCACCATGCCTTGCTTTTCTCTTCCTTTTCCAGTGGAACAAGCTGCAGAGCTGGGTGAGTGTCACAGAGCTTGGGCTCTGACATCTCCAAGGCGATGTGCAGGGGAGGGTGGGCAGCTGGGACAGAGAAGCCCAGGGCTGGCCCCTCACCCTGCCCACACCCACTGGGCACCACCCATGGGCTGTGACCAGCTCTCCCCTCTCCTTCCAGCATGGAGAAGGTCTCTCCTGCCTCATAATAGAGGTAGGTGTGCATTGGGTTGCCCTCTGAGGTGCTTCTCATTCCCCGTGCTCAGGAGCCAAGAGGTGCCCCATCTCCTGCCCCGTGGGGCAGCTCCTGGCCCCGAGCTGGGGAAAGCCTGCCCAGGGCTGAGCTCTGCCCCTGATGGCCTGGCTCCTTCTGTCCCTGCAGTGAAGGTGACCCTGGATCCACGCACGGCTCATCCCTGGCTTGTTGTGTCTCAGGACAAGAGCAGTGTGAGATGCAATAGTGAACGGCAGCAGGTGCCTGACACACCAGAGAGATTTCACAATAGATTATGCGTTCTGGGCCATGAAGAGTTCACAGAGGGGAGGCACTGCTGGTTGGTGGAGGTGGAGGGAGAGCGGCTAAAGTATTCTTCGTGGGCTGTGGGGGTGACCAGGGCATCTGTGGAGAGGAAGAAGAGGATCAACATGAGCCCTGAAGAAGGGATCTGGGCTGTGCAATACAGTAAGGGTCAGCTAGAGTCTCTCACAACTCCTCCCACTTACTTGTCCCTGTCCCCTGTCCCCACGAGGATCTGGGTCTGTCTGAACTGTACCCAGCAACAGGTGTCTTTTATCAACGCTGACAATGGGGTCCAGATCTTTACTTTCACAGCAGCCTCCTTCAATGGCGAGACCATCCGCCCCTGGTTCTGGGTGCAGACACTGAGAACTCAGCTGTGCCTGAGGGACAGCACCCCCAAGACCCTGTCCCCAGCCCTGGAGGGCTCCTGCCTTTCTCCAGACACTCCTGCATCACCTCTCCTTGCTCCTGCAGGAGCAGCACAGGAATGACGGGCAGTAGTGCCAGGGACTCTCCTTTATTCCTCCCTGCTGCTGGAAGAGGGCTGGGATGCTGCAAGCAGGGACCAGGCCCCTTGCAGCCCCTGGGCTCTGCCCTGCACGTGGCTCCTGTGCTGGGGCACAAGCCCTTCTGGCACCCACGGGTCTCACCCTGCCTCTGAGCCCCTGCAGGCAGCACAGGGGCTGCAGCAGTTCTCCACGCTCCTCTCCCCTCTTCTTGCAGACCCCAGGGCAAGGGATGTGGTCACAGTGTGCTGCCGGCCATTGGAGACCACCTTTGCCTCCTAGTTTGGGGTTGATCTTTGCTCTGTGCCTGGTGCTGAGCATGAGCAGCCTGAGGGGGCTCTTTGTTCCCTCCTCTGGAGCACATCTATGGAAGATGCAGCAGCAGGACTGTGTCAAATAAAGTTTTGTACAGGAAGATGGAGTCTGGCAGTGGCATTTCCTGGGTGCTTTGTGTCCTGAGGCCTTGCTGCCTGGGAAGGCGTCTTGCAGCAGACCGTCTCCTCACATGCCTTGCCCTGCAGAGCCTTCGTCGTCCTCGTAGCCCTCCCTTGGAGGCTTTTGCAGATTTTCATGCCCTTCGTTTTGACCCTTTGGGGTCCCATGTCATGGCCCCCACACACCCGCTCCTGTTGGTGAGAAACCATAGAAGTGTGTGAGCCTCTGCCCTGTGCCCAGAACACTGCAGAGACACCAGCGAGGCTTGAGGAGCATCTTTATTGTCTGAGATGGGGCCAATGGGGAGCCGCCGATGCCAGGAGGTGTCTGTCTGGGGGTCCTCAGATGCTGCCTGGGGAAGGGGGGGACACACAGGGCCAGAGATGGGGTGATTCACCCCTCACGTATGGCTATGGGGATGGGGACACCGTTACCTGCGGGGTAGTTGTCTCCAGGGAGGGGAGTGTAACCTGCGGGGGAGAGAAGAGGAGTGAGCAGAGTCCTCGTCGCCCTTGACCACGGCCCCGGCTCTCCCCAGCCAATCAGCCAGGGCGGGAGGCCTGGCCTTGAAGCGGTAGATGCTGGTGAGAAATAAGCCAAGTCCCAGCACCATCAGCACGGTGGCCACCGCCACAAGTATCGTCACCTCCGGCATCAGTCCGGGACCTGTGGGGACACGGCCGGGTGAGTGGCAGCAAGGAGCCAAGACCACCGGCCTCCGGGTGCGGTCCTGCGCCTCTCCACTCACTCCAGTCCTCCAGGAGAGGCTCCTGCAGGCTGACGTGCTGCACCGAGCACGTGTAGGTGTCGCCTGCCACCGGGGCCACCAGCAGGGACACCTGCATCTGGTAGGTCCAGTCGCCGTTGGGGATGGTGGAGATGGGGTTGTAGTCGTCGGGCTCCACGATGTCCCCGTTGTGCAGCCAGATGACGGTCACCTCGGGGGGGTAGAAGCCCCAGATGTGGCAGCTGAGGCGCACGTGCACACGGGCGTTCCCCGTCTCCGCGGGGATGATGCGGACTTGGGGCTGTGCTGGAGCAGGGATGGGGATGGGGTCAGTGGTGAGTGAGCCCCTTTTCCCTGCCCTGTGCAACGTCCTCACGCAATGCTGTGCAATGCTCCCGTGCAACGCTCCCATGCAAAGCTCTAGGCATTCTTCCATGTGATGTCACGTATGAAATCCCCATGCAATGCCCTGTGCAACGCCCCTGTGCCACACCCTGCAAGAGGCTTTGCTCTCTGCAACATCCCCTTGCAAAGGGCAATGCAATGCGCTGTGCAGTGCTCTGTGCAACTTCCCCCTGCGAAGTCCTCACGCAGTGTGCTCTGCAACATCCCCATGCAATGCCCGGTGGAAGATCTCCTTGCAACATGATCTACAACACCCCTGTGTAACATTCCAATGAAATGCCCGGTGCAACATCTTGCCAAGGCATTTAGCTCCAGGGCAGACTCTTTCTGCAGCGGAACAGGGGATCTCACAGGCAGGGCTATTTTTTTCCGGCATTGAGCCCACTTGTGGGAGCTGCCAGGACCCAGCAGCCCTCGCGAGGGAGGCTAACAAAGCGTAGGCTGAGCCAGCAGAGCCCCCTCTCAGGCTGTTCAAAAGCAGCCCCTGGGGAGTGTGATGACCACGAAAGCGGCGACCCAGGTGGGCAAACAGGGCATGGTGCATCAGAAGGGAGTTGCAGGCAGTTCACGCAGGCAGGGTGAGCAGGGAGGGCAGAGCGTTCCCCCCCATCCATACGAACAACTCCTCTAACGGCGGTCTACCACTAGCTAGGCTGCAATGGTCTCCACCAGGCACAGTGCTCTCTCTAGCAAGTCTGTGCACACCCAGACTGACTGCCCGCTCAAAAATGCACCAGTTCAGGTCTCTGGGTGCAGGGAGCATCTGAGCCTCTTGCTGCCATCTGCAGGAGGCAGAGAGAATGTGTGTGCGTGAGGTGAGAGCAGGTGGATGACCTGGTCCGCCTGGTGGCAGAACTCAAGGAGAAGGTGGAGATGTTGAGGGCTATCAGGGAGTGTGAGCGGGAGATAGAGTGGTGGGGTAACTGTCTGCAGGGCCTGAAGGAGAGGTAGCGGGATGAGACACCCCAAATGGGGGTGGACCGCCAACCCTGTCACTGTTGGGCAGAGGGAGGGCACCTGGGAGTTGAGGAGGAATGGAGACAGGTCCCTGTGGACATCGCAGGCGATGCCACCCCATACAAGCCCCAGCTTCCCAGGTGCCCTTCCACAACAGGTTTGAGGCCCTGGAGCTTGAGGGACCGGGAGCTGAGGAAGAGGTAGAAAGTGTAGCCAGGAGGATGCCTAGGTTGAGGAAGTCGACTCCACGCCTCAGGACTGCTATCCTCTTTTGATAGTCCAGGCTGGCAGTGATGACATTGAAGAGAGAAGCCTGAAGGCTATCAAACGGGACGTTAGGGGACTGGGGCAGTTAGTGGATGGAGCGGGAGTACAGGTGGTGCAGATCTCCACACTGCAGCCCATGGAGGAACCCCCAGTACAGGAGGTGGAAGGGACTTGGTGGAGGCTGCGGCCCATGGACAGCCCCCGCAGGAGCAGGCCCCAGGCAGGAGCTGCAGCCCATGGAGAGGAGCCCACACAGGATCAGGATGTCTAGGGGGAGCTGCCACCCGTGGGGGACTCAGATTGGAATAGTTTGCTCCTCACAGATGTACCTCATACTACAGACCCATACTGGGGCAGTTGCTGGAGAGCTGCTGCCTGTGGGAAACCCATGTAGGATCAGTTTGGGAAGGACGGCATCCTATGGGAAGAGTTGTTGACTTGGCTGAGGGTGGAAAGCCCTTGCAGGGAGATCTGGACAGATTAGAGAGCTGGGCAATCAAAAAATGCATGAAGTTTAACAAAGGCAAGTGCTGGGTCCTGCACCTGGGATTTGGCAACCCTGGCTATACGTGCAGACTGGGGGATGAGACGCTGGAGAGCAGCCCTGCAGAGAGAGATCTGGGGGTTGTGGTTGACAGCAAGCTGAACATGAGCCAGCAGTGTGCCCTAGCAGCCAGGAGGGCCAACCGTATCCTGGGGTGCATAGAGCACAGCATTGCCAGTCGGTCAAGGGAAATGATTGTCCCACTCTACTCTGCACTCTGCGGCATCACCTCAAGTACTATGTGCAGTTCTGGCCACCACAGTACAAGAAGGACGTGAAACTCTTGGAGAGTGTCCATAGAAGGGCCACAGAGATGGTTAAGGGCCTCCAGGGGGAGACGTACGCCTTTAGCCAGTTCTCTTAGTACTCTGGGATGAATCCCATCAGGCCCTATAGTCTTGTATGCACTTATCTGGAGTAGCAAATCCCACACAAATTTGGGGTTGTTGAGACTTTATCGTTCCTGCAGTCACTGTCCTCCAGCTCAGGGCACCTGGGGTCCCACAGCCCAGCATCAGTGTTGAAGGCAAAGAAAGCAATAAACATTTCTGTGAATGACCCTGTTTGACCATCCCAATCAAGTAACAGACCAATGCTTTCTCTCATCCTATTTTAGCTGTTAAGAGAGTTTTTAAAAAAGCATTTTATTGCTCCTCACAGTACTGTCCAGCTTCAACTCAAAATGAGCTTTGTCCATATGTATTTTCTCCCTACAAAAGCAAACAGTACCTCTGTAGTCTTTCCATGTTGCCTGAATTCTCTTCCAGCAAACAGGAACTTTCCTCATCCACCTAAGCTCTAGAAGAAGGTCCCTGCCCATCTGAACAAACCTTCTGCCATGCCTGCTTTAATGGAGCCGGGAGAGGCACTGGCATTTTGCCTTCAGCACCCTGGGCAAAGGGTGGCAGCTCTGGGCTCGGCACCCAGCTGTGCCCCGTTCCCTGCAGCCTCCGATCCTGCTCAGCTCTTCGCTGCCATCTCTCCACATTTTCCCATTGCTCACACTTTGATTCCTCCTTACATGCATGGAGATGAACGAACATAGCCAGTGGCTTTCCCTGGAGGTCTGGAGAGGCCCCTGCTGGGGACAAGCAACTCGTGCTTGCTAAATGCAGTGGACTGGGCACTCAGCTGCAATGGGATGGTGGTGCCAGCCCTGCAGAGCTCCCCAGACATTCCCCTAGGGGCAGAGCTGCTCCAGGAGGGTTATTGGAGCCAGGAACTGGGCAAAGGTTGGGAAAGTTGGGCGTAGCATTGTGCTTCCTGCAGCTCTGCTGGGTGCCGTGAGGGACATCTACCTGGCCTTGGAGAAAAACCCCTGGGGGGCCACCTGTCCCCTGGGGGACCCCTCTCTCACATGGTGCTACACTGGGGCTGCAGCCACCCCAGCTTCACTGGTTGCAGTTTCAGTTCTCCCCATATTCACATCAGAACCCAAGCTCCTTCTCAAAATGGTTGGATCAGAGCTTCCAAGGGTGGGGTTTGAGCTAACAGTCCACGGCTCCTTGGAGTTGAAAAGAGGATGATAGCCCGAGTACATAGTTTTTAAGAAAAGCATCTTTTGTCTCAAATTGAGGTAATTCGTTCCCTTTGTCCATGTACAGCAATCCAAATAGTATTTCATATGGTGAAACTCCCACATCTTTTCTTGGTGCAGTTTGAATTCGGAGAAGTGCCAAAGGTAAACACTTTTTTTGGGGAAGCTGAGTTTCTAGGACTTAGTCAATTGCTTCTTTACTGTCTAATCCACTCCACCCTTCCAGAAGAAGAAGGATGCCAAGGAGTGTGAAATTTCCAGTTAATTCATACAGTCCACGTTAGCCCTTACAATATTTCTGACATAAAGTGATTTAGAATCATAGAATCGTAGAATCATAGAATATCCTGAGTTGGAAGGGACCCTTAAGGATCATCAAGTCCAACTCTTGACACCACACAGGTCTACCCAAAAGTTCAGACCATGTGACTAAGTGCACAGTCCAATTTCCTCTTAAATTCAGTCAGGCTCGGTGCAGTGACCACTTCCCTGGGGAGCCTGTTCCAGTGTGCAACCACCCTCTCTGTGAAGAACCCCCTCCTTATGTCAAGCCTAAACTTCCCCTGCCTCAGTTTAACCCCGTTCCCGCGGGTCCTGTCACTGGTGTTAATGGAGAAAAGGTCTCCTGCCTCTCGACACCCCCTTACGAGGAAGTTGTAGACTGCGATGAGGTCTCCCCTCAGCCTCCTCTTCTCCAGGCTGAACAGGCCCAGTGCCCTCAGCCGTTCCTCGTACGTCTTCCCCTCCAGGCCTTTCACCATTTCTTTGATCAGAGTCAATATTTTCAACAATTCCATACCTGGGAATTATTTGTTCCAGAATTACTTTAGTTACTATGTTCGCAGTAGCAGATACTGAAGGAAAAGCTTCCACACACCCTGACAAATGATCTACCAAGACTAGTAAGTATTTAAATCTACCTACTCTAAGGAGTTCTGTAAAATCCTCCTGTACATTTTGGAAGCATTGAATTCCTGTTTCTTGCCCTCTTCAGGCTGACTGTTTTAAAGTCCTATTTCCCTTTTGACATACTACACAACTCCTGCGTACTTGTTCAGCCAGAGTATATGTATTCCTACACATACTTATTTCCATAGCACAGCGCCACACGTTGCTTGAATCACCTCCCCTGTTTCCTCATTACCTGAGTACTACAAGTTCACAAGCTACATGACACTCCTCTATACCAATATAAGTAATTTTTTTCTTTTTTTTTTCAACCCTTTAATTTCTTCTTTCTTATGTTTTGAGAACATGTGTTCTTTGTTTTCCTGTTCTCGCAATGCTCATCCTGTTTTCCTCAAGCTTCTACCTTATTTTGGAACAGTGACGCCTTCTACGGTCCACTTATCTACTTAACATTTCTGCTTATTCTGACAACACCTTGAAATGCAGAAAAATAATTCTCTGCTGCAAAAACACAACATTGTTTCTCACACCAGCCCAGCTCAGAGTGGTGGGACCAGGCCACCCTGTCACTGCCACCGTGGGGCAGGATGTCGTGCTGCCCTGCCACTTGTCCCCTCAACGCGATGCTCACAGCTTGGAGGTCAGATGGATCCAGGATGATTTGTCTGAGACAGTGCACCACTACCGCAATGGACAGGACCTGTACGGGGAGCAGATGGAGGCATATGCCAGGAGGACAGAGTTGCTCAGAGATGGTCTCTGTGCTGGAAGATTGGACTTGCGAATCACGGGGCTGAGACCCTCTGATGATGGCCTGTATGTCTGCACTGTGGGAGACGCTGATTTTTATGACGAAGCCATTGTGGAGCTGGAGGTGTCAGGTTAGTGGCTGGGGTGATGCTGCCAGGACAGAGTTTACATGTCCTATGAATGTTTTAGCTGTTTCACAGCATGGAGCATGCCCATGGATGTGGAGGTAATATATGGGGAGAGAGCTTCCTGGAGGGTTTTGTCAGTTTTCACTGGTGTCCTTGAAGACAATAATCATAATATTGTGAGGGCACTGGGCACAGGCTGCTGAGCAGCACCTTCAGCTGTGTCAGCAATGGGACCAAACAGCACACAGGGAGAATCACAGAGTCCTCTGAGCAGCCGGACGTCTGCTTTACTTTTGCTTTCTGTGCTGGGGGAGACCTGAGACATTGCCTGGATATCTTGGGGTTTTTGAACCTGGATGGCTTGGTGAAGAGATGCTGCCTGAAGATCCTGGAAATCGGTACCTGGGTTTTCTGTGTGATTTGGGGCCACTGGCATTGTGCAGACCTGCTCTATGGGTCCTGCAACAGCTGGAGTGGTTTTGGGCTGAGGGTGAGTGCATGAAGTGTCCAGTCAGAGAGTCGCTGGGGCCAGGTTTGGCCTGGCTGTGTCTGGCATGGGAGCAGATGGGGTCTTTGCCTTGGAACTGAATCCCTCCCCAAGTCAAGCCCCAGACACATGCTCTTTCCCCAGCCAAAGGCGCTGACCCCCACCTCTCCCTGGGGGGCTACGAGGCCGGAGGCGTCCGGGTGCTGTGTCGATCGGCCGGCTGGTACCCGCTGCCGCAGCTGCTGTGGAGGGAAGCTCGCGGGAGGCACCTGCCCTCGGTCTCCCAGACACATTCCCAGGACCAGGAGGGGCTCTTTGAAATCGAAGGCGCCGTCATTGTGACCGGGAGCGTGGAGGGGCCCTTGTCCTGCATGGTCAGGAACAACCGCCTCCAGCAGGAGAGAAAAATTTCCCTGCACATCACAGGTACAAATAGCACAGCCAGGGTGAGGTATTCCTGGCCCCTGCACTTGTCCTGACCCAGGAGAAGTTTGGGTCTTGCTCTTCTAACCCCAGCCATGTAAATACAGCCCTTTTCCTGGTGCCTTTTCTCAGCTCCCTTATTCCACAACACCCAGCATTGGATGGTGGCTCTGGCTCTGGTCCTGGTGCTTTTGGCTGTGTCCATTGGCCTCGGTGTTTATCTCTTTCTAAACAAGGTAAGCTGGCTGCGCAGGGACGAAGCGGATGGAGGTGTTCTGCAGGGACCCCCTGGGTGTGGAGCGGGGCTGAGCCCTGGCCCAAGGGAGGTGCGTAGGAAGAAGAAGGGAATGTTCTCCTGGGGATCCCAAAGGCCGTAGGATTGTCTTGGGCCTCTGCCTTGGGCAACGAAGGCAGGGAAGAAGGCATGGGGCCTTGGGTGGGAGGCCAGGGAGCATGGCTGCAGCGTGGGGCTGGTGGCAAGGCGCAGCCCCCCTGCACATGTTCCCACCCAGCAACCAAGCTGCTCTGCTCACCACCTCTTCCTCCGCCTTTGCTTTTCAGTGGCACAGAGCCGAGAGCTGGGTGAGTCCTTGCAGTCCCTGCCCCCAGCCCCTGGGGAAGTGGTGTCCCTGCGGGAGGGAATGGGCCTGGTCTGGGTGTGCTCTGGGGGCTTGTGTGCTGGTGGCTCGGGGGTGCTGGAGGAGCAGCTGGAGCCTGGGGTGGGAGTGGGGAGTGCTGGGGCTGGGGCTGCCCTGGGAAGGGGACACGGCCGGGATGGCTGAAAGGAACGGGGATCAAGGTGGGGACGGGGAGCAAGCTTCAGGGCTGCCCCGCTCTGCACTGATGCTTCTGGGACAGGGACGTCCTTCACCCGTCCCCATTCCCATCCACTTGAGCTTTGCTAGCACGGTGCAGAGAGCTGCGCAAGTGTCTGTCCTTACTGCTACAAGTCTTGCAAAAAGCTGGGCCTCGGTCCTTCTTAGTCTGGTCACTACAAGTCTGGGAGCAAGGTCGTCTGTGCCCATGCATGAGAGCAAAAAAATTTGGGGTCTAGCCATGGCAGCAGCAATGGGGTGAAAGTCTCTCCACTCTGACCATTCATTCCTTTTGCTTTTTTTAGCAGCGAAAAAGGATGCAAAGCTGGGTAAGTCTCCTTCCCCAAAGAGAAGGCATTTGGTGTCTTCCCACAAGCATACTCCCATCTGACCATACATTGCATTTCTCTTTCTTTTCCAGTGCAACAGGCTTCAGAGATAGGTGAGTATCCATCCATGAACTGAAAGAATTTGTGGTATAGACATGTGATGAGAAGTTTTTCCCTCTGATCATGTATTCCTTATGCTTTTCCAGAAGAAAAAGCTGAAAGACTGGGTGAGTCTCTCTTTCCCTGCACCATCCCCCGAGGACTGAAGGAACTGGGGGTCATTCCTTTGTAGCAGCCACTTGATAAGTACCTGATTCCTCTCATCAATATATTGCTCTTATTTTCCTTTTCAGAGGAACAAGCTGCAGAGTTGGGTGAGTGTCCCCGTCCTTGAGCCCCAGGGCAACACCAAGGCGAAGTGCAGGAGAGGGTGGGCAGCTGGGACAGAGAAGCCCAGGGCTGGCCCCTCACCCTGCCCACACCCACTGGGCACCACCCATGGGCTGTGACCAGCTCTCCCCTCTCCTTCCAGCATGAAGAAGGTCTCTCCTGCCTCATAATAGAGGTAGGTGTGCATTGGGTTGCCCTCTGAGGTGCTTCTCATTCCCCGTGCTCAGGAGCCAAGAGGTGCCCCATCTCCTGCCCCGTGGGGCAGCTCCTGGCCCTGAGCTGGGGAAAGCCTGCCCAGGGCTGAGCTCTGCCCCTGATGGCCTGGCTCCTTCTGTCCCTGCAGTGAAGGTGACCCTGGATCCACGCACGGCTCATCCCCAGCTCATCCTGTCTCAGGACAACAGCAGTGTGAGACGGGAAAGTAAATGGCAGCAGCTGCCTGACTCACCAGAGAGATTTGACAACTGGGGCTGCGTGCTGGGCCGTGAGGATTTCAGAGAGGGGAGGCACTGCTGTTTGGTGGAGGTGGAGGGAGAGCGGCTACAGTATTCACGGTGGGCTGTGGGGGTAGCCAGGGCTTCTGTGGAGAGAAAGGGGTATTTCAAAGGGACCCCTGAAGAAGGGATCTGGGCTGTGGAGTACTTACATGGGCAGCTCACATCTCTCACATCTCCTCGCACTCCCTTGTCCCTGTCCCATGTCCCCACAAGGATCTGGCTCTGTCTGGACTGTACCCACGGGCAGCAGGTGTCTTTTATCAACGCTGACAATGGGGTCCAGATCTTCACTTTCACAGCAGCCTCCTTCAATGGCGAGACCATCCGCCCCTGGTTCTGGATAAGGACAGAGGGAATTCATCTGTGCCTGAGGGACAGCACCCCCAAGACCCTGTCCCCAGCCCTGGGGGGCTCCTGCCCTTCTCCAGATACTCCTGCATCACCTCTCCTTGGTTCTGCAGGAGCAGCACAGGAATGAGGGGCAGTGGGGCCAGGGGCTGCCCTGTGTTCCTCCCTGCTGCTGGAGGAGGGCTGGGATGCTGCAAGCAGGGACCAGGCCCCTTGCAGCCCCTGGGCTCTGCCCTGCACGTGGCTCCTGTGCTGGGGCACAAGCCGTGCTGGCACCCATGGGTCTCACCCTGCCTCTGAGCCCCAGCGGGCAGCACAGGGGCTGCAGCAGCTCTCCACGCTCCTCTCCCCTCTGTTTGCACTGCCTGCAGACCCCAGGGCAAGGGATGTGGTCACTGTGTGGTGATAGCCATTGCAGGCCACCTTTGCCTCCTAGGTTGGGGTTGATCTTTGCTCTGTGCCTGGTGCTGAGCATGAGCAGCCTGTGGGGGCTCTTTGTTCCTTCCTCTGGAGCACATCAAGGCCCAGCAGCAGCAGGACTGTGTCAAATAAAGTTTTGCACAGGAAGATGGAGTCTGGCAGTGGCATTTCCTGGGTACTTTGTGTCCTGAGGCCTTGCTGCCTGGGAAGGCGTCTTGCAGCAGACCATCTCCTCACACGCCTTGCCCTGCAGAGCCTTCACCGTCCTCGTAGCCCTCCCTTGGAGGCTCTCGCACAGTTTCACGCCCTTCGTCTGCTGCGGTGTCCACAGCTGCACGCAGTGCTTGAGGCGAGGCCGCAGCAGGCCGAGCAGAGCGGGATGATCCCTTCCCTCGGCCGGCCAGCAGTGCCGTGCCTGAGGCACCCCAGGGCACGCTTGGCCCTTTGGGGTCCCATGCCATGGCCCCCACACACCCGCTCCTCTTGGTGAGACACTGTAGGACTGTGTGAGCCTCTGCACTGTCCCCAGAACACTGCAAAGACACCAGTGGGGCTTTTGGAGCATCTTTATTGTCAGCACCACAGCATCGGGTCTGAGATGGGGCCAACCGGGAGCCGCCAGTGCCAGGAGGTGTCCGTCTGGGGGTCCTCAGATGCTGCCTGGGGAAGGGGCTGAGACCCTCTGATGATGGCCAGTACATCTCCACTGTGGAAGATGCTGATGCTTATGATGAAGCCATTGTGGAGCTGGAGGTGTCAGGTTAGTGGCTGGGGTGATGCTTACAGGGCAGAGTTTACGTGTCCTTTGAATGTTTCAGTTCTTTCACAGCATGGAGCATGCCCATGCATGTGGAGGTAATATCTGGGGAGAGAGCTCCCTGGATAGTTTTGTCAGTTTTCACTGGTGTCCTTGAAGACAATAATCATAATACTGTCAGGGCACTGGGCACAGGCTGCTGAGCAGCACCTTCAGCTGTGTCAGCAATGGGACCAAACAGCACACAGGGAGAATCTCAGAGTCCTCTGAGCAGCCGGGCATCTGCGTTACTTTTGTTTTCTGTGCTGGGAGAGACCTTAGACATTGTCAGGAAGTCTCGGGGCTTCTTGAACCAGCACATCTTGGTGCAGATATGCTGTCTGGAGGTGCTGAAGCTCAGCACTTGGGTTTCCTGGGCAATTTCCAGCCACTGGCATAGTGCAGCCCTGCTCTCTGGGTCCGGCACATACAAGGTTGTTTTTGGAGTGAGGGTGAGTGCGTGGAGTGCCTGGTCATTGAGCCCCTGGAGCCATACCTGTGATGGGCTGTGTCTGTCTTGGGAGCAGATGGAGTCTTTGCCTTGAAATGAATCCCTCCCCAAGTCAAGCACCAGACACACGCTCTTCCCCCAGCCACAGGCGCTGACCCCCACCTCTCCCTGGGGGGCTACGAGGACGGAGGCGTCCGGGTGCTGTGTCGATCAGCCGGCTGGTACCCGCTGCCGCAGCTGCTGTGGAGGGATGCTCGCGGGCAGCACCTGCCCTCGGTCTCCCAGACACATTCCCAGGACCAGGAGGGGCTCTTTGAAATCGAAGGTGCCATCATCGTGACCGGGAGCGTGGAGGGGCCCTTGTCCTGCGTGGTCAGGAGCAGCCGCCTCCAGCAGGAGAGGGAATCATCCTTGCACATCGCAGGTACAAATGGCACAGCCAGGGTGTGGTGTTCCTGGCCCCTGCACTTGTCCTGAGCTGCGAGAAGTCTGGGTCTTCCTCTTCCAACTGCGGGTATGGAAACGCAGCCCTTTTCCTGGTGCCTTTTCTCAGCTCCCTTCTTCCACAACGCCCAGCCCTGGATGGTGGCTCTGGCTCTGGTCCTTGTGCTATCGGCTGTGTCCATTGGCCTCAGTGTTTATCTCTTTCGAAAGCAAGGTAAGCTGGCAGAGCAGGGATGGAGCGGAGGGAGGTGTTCTGCAGGGACCCCGCTGGGTCTGGAGCGGGGCTGAGCCCTGTCCCAGGGAGGTGCGTAGGAGGAGGAAGGGAATGTTCTCCTGGGGATGCCAAAGGCCTTAGGATCATCTTGGGTGGGAGGCCAGGGAGCATGGCTGCAGCGTGGGGCTGGTGGCAAGGCGCAGCCCCCCTGCACATGTTCCCACCCAGCAACCAAGCTGCTCTGCTCACCACCTCTTCCTCCGCCTTTGCTTTTCAGCGGCACAGAGGCGAGAGCTGGGTGAGTCCTTGCAGTCCCTGCCCCCAGCCCCTGGGGAAGTGGTGTCTGTGTGGGAGGGCCTGGTCTGGGTGGGCTCTGGGAGCTTGTGTGCTGGTGGCTCGGGGGTGCTGGAGGAGCAGCTGGAGCCTGGGGTGGGAGTGATGAGTGCTGGAGCTGGGGTTGCCCTGGGCATGGGACATGGTACAGGGCAAGGATGGCTGAAAGGAATGGGGATCAAGGTGGGGATGGGGAGGGAGCTGCAGGGCTGCCCCGCTCTGCACTGACGCTTCTGGGACAGGGACATCCTCCACCTGTCCCCATTCACTTCCCCTTGTGTTTTGGTGGCACGCTGCAGAGAGATGCACAAGTGTCTGTCCTTACTGCTCAACGTGCTCAAGCCTTGCTTAAAGCTGGGTCTTGCTCCCTGTTAGACTGGTCCCTCCCAGTCTGGGTGGAAGTTGGTCATTTCCCACTTTTAACCCTTTGGGGTCTTCAAATGGGATCAGCCCTGAGATGAAAAGCTGTAACCTCTGATCACTCATGCTTTTGTTTTCCTTTTCCAGTGAACAGAGTTGCAAAGCTGAGTAAGTCTCCTTCCCCAAAGAGAAGGCATTTGGTGTCTTCCCACAAGCATACTCCCATCTGACCACACATTGCTTTTCTCTTTCTTTTTCTTTTCAAGTGAAAAAAGCTGCAGAGATAGGTGAGTGTCCATCCCTGAATGGGAAGAATTTGAAGTGTAGACAGTGGGTGAGAAATTTTTTTCCCTCTGATCTTGCATTCCTTATGCTTTTCTTTTCCAGAGGAAAAAGATGCAAGACTGGGTGAGTCTCTATTCCCCCCCCCAACTGAAGGAATTGGGGGTCTTTGGTTTGTAGCAGTCATTGTTGATAAACTGACTGCTCTCATCGATGCATTGCTTTTCTATTTTGTTTGTAGATAAACAAGCTGCAGAGCTGGGTAAGTCTCACTCTCCAAACAGAAAAAAAAATAAATAAGGAAAAAAAAAAAAAAAGCATCATAGTAAGAGGTATGCAACCAGAACCTGTGCCTTCTGCTCATAATTTTCTTTCTCTTTAATTTGTAGAGAAACAAGCTGCAGAGCTGGGTAAGTCTCACTCTCAAAACAGAAAAAAAAAAAAAAAAGGCTTTATAGTTAGAATTATGTAATCAGAACCTGTGCCTTCTACTCATAATTTGCTTTCTCTTTAATTTGTAGAGAAACAAGCTGCAGAGCTGGGTAAGTCTCCCGGAGCTCAATCCCAAGAGCAGCGCCAAGGCAATGTGCAGGGCAGGGTGGGCAGCTGGGGCAGAACAGCCCAGGGCTAACCCCTCACCCTGCCCACACCCACTGGGCACCAGCCATGGGCTGTGACCAGCTCTCCCCTCTCCTTCCAGCATGGAGAAGGTGTCTGCTGCCTCAAAATAGAGGTAGGTGTGCACTGGGTTACCCTCTGAGGTGCTTCTCCTGCCCCTGGTGGGGCATGTTGAGGAGCCAAGAGGTGCCCCATCTCCTGCCCCGTGGGGCAGCTCCTGGCCCCGAGCTGGGGAAAGCCTGCCCAGGGCTGAGCTCTGCCCCTGATGGCCTGGCTCCTTCTGTCCCTGCAGTGAAGGTGACCCTGGATCCACACACGGCTCATCCCCGTCTTGTGGTGTCTCAGGACAAGAGCAGTGTGAGACGGGAAATTGAATGGCAGCAGGTTCCTGACACACCAGAGAGATTTGACTACCGGTGGTGTGTGCTGGGCTGTGAGGAGTTCAGAGAGGGGAGGCACTGCTGGTTGGTGGAGGTGCAGGGAGAGCGAATAAAGTATTCACGGTGGGCTGTGGGGGTGGCCAGGGCTTCTGTGGAGCGGAAAGGGTATTTCAATAGGAGCCCTGAAGAAGGCATCTGGGCTGTGGAGTACAATGAGGGGCACCTCACATCTCTCAAATGGCCTCGCACCCCCTTGTCCCTGTCCCCTATCCCCATGAGGATCTGGGTCTGTCTGGACTGTACCCAGGAGCAGGTGTCTTTTATCAACTGACAATTGCTGACAATGGGGTTGAGATCTTCACTTTCACAGCAGCCTCCTTCAATGGGGAGAGCATCCGCCCCTGGTTCTGGGTGGAGACAGAGGGAATTCAGCTGTGCCTGAGGGACAGCACCCTGTCCCCAGCCCTGGGGACGTCCTGTCCTTCTCCAGCCACTCCTGCATCACCTCTCCTTGCTCCTGCAGGAGCAGCACAGGAATGAGGGGCACTGGGGACAGGGGCTGCCCTGCGTTCCTCTCTGCTGCTGGAGGAGGGCTGGGATGCTGCAAGCAGGGGCCAGGCCCCTTGCAGCCCCTGGGCTCTGCCCTGCACGCGGCTCCTGTGCTGGGGCACAAGCCCTGCTGGCACCCACGGGTCTCACCCTGTCTCTGAGCCCAGCAGGCAGCACAGGGGCTGCAGCAGCTCTCCACGCTCCTCTGCCCTCTGCTTGCACTGCTTGCAGACCCCAGGGCAAGGGATGTGGTCACCGTGTGCTGCTGGCCATTGCAGGCCACCTTTGCCTCCTAGTTCAGGGTTGATCTTTGCTCTGTGCCTGGTGCTGAGCATGAGCAGCCTGTGGGGGCTCTTTGTTCCCTCCTCTGGAGCACATCAAGGCCCAGCAGCAGTAGGACTGTGTCAAATAAAGTTTTGCACAGGAAGATGGAGTCTGGCAGTGGCATTTCCTGGGTGCTTTGTGTCCTGAGGCCTTGCTGCCTGGGAAGGCGTCTTGCAGCAGACCGTCTCCTCACACGCCTTGCCCCGCAGAGCCTTCGCCGTCCTCGTAGCTCTCCCTTGGAGGCTCTCGCACAGTTTCACACCCTTCGTCTGCTGCGTTACCCACAGCTGCACGCAGTGCTCAAAGCAAGGCCGCAGCAGGCCAAGCAGAGCGGGACGATCCCTTCCCTCGGCCGGCCAGCAGTGCCGTGCCTGAGGCACCCCAGGGCACGCGTGGCCCTTTGGGGTCCCATGCCATGGCCCCCACACACCCGCTCCTCTTGGTGAGACACCATAGGAGTGTGTGAGCCTCTGCCCAGTGCACAGAACACTGCAGAGACACCAGCGGGGCTTGTGGAGCATCTTTATTGTCTGCACCACGGCATCGGGTCTGAGATGGGGCCAAACGGGAGCCACCGGTGCCAGGAGGTGTCCGTCTGGGGGTCCTCAGATGCTGCCTGGGGAAGGGGGGGACGCACAGGGTGAGAGATGGGGAAATTTGTCCCTTGCCAATGGGGACGGGGATGGGGACACCGTTACCTGCGGGGTAGTTGTCTCCAGGGAGGGGAGTGTAACCTGCGGGGGGGAGAAGAGGAGTCAGCAGAGTCCTCGTCGTCCTTGACCACAGCCCCAGCTGTCCACGGACACTCACCCGGGGCAGGAGGCCTGGCCTTGTAGCGGTAGACGCCGGTGAGAAAGAAGCCAAGTCCCAGCACCATCAGCACGGTGGCCACCGCCACCAGTATCGTCACCTCCGGCATCAGTCCAGGACCTGCGGGGACACGGCCGGGTGAGTGGCAGCAAGGAGCCAAGACCACCAGCCTCAGGATGCGGTCCTGCGCCTCTCCACTCACTCCAGTCCTCCAGGAGAGGCTCCTGCAGGCTGACGTGCTGCACCGAGCACGTGTAGGTGTCGCCTGCCACCGGGGCCACCAGCAGGGACACCTGCGTCTGGTAGGTCCAGTCGCCGTTGGGGATGGTGGAGATGGGGTTGTAGTCGTCGGGCTCCACGATGTCCCCGTTGTGCAGCCAGATGACGGTCACCTCGGGGGGGTAGAAGCCCCAGATGTGGCAGCTGAGGCGCACGGGCACACGGGCGTGAGCCTCTTGCTGCCATCTGCAGGAGGCAGAGAGACTGTGTGTGCGTGAGGTGAGAGCAGGTGGATGACCTGGTCTGCCTGGTGGCAGAACTCAAGAAGGAGGTGGAGAGGCTGAGGGCTATCAGGGAGTGCGAGTGAGAGATAGAGTGGTGGGGCAATTCCCTGCGGGGCCTGAAGGAGAGGTACCGGCGTGAGACACCCCAAATGGTGTGGACCCCCTCCCCTGTCGCTGTCGGGCATAGGTAGGGGACCTAGGAGTTGAGGAGGAATGGAGACAGGTCCCTGCTCGACATCGCAGGCGATGCCACCCTCTGCCGTCCCCACCTTCCCAGGTGCCCTTCCACAACAGGTTTGAGGCCCTGGAGCTTGAGGGACCGGGAGCTGAAGAAGAGGTAGAAAGTGTAGCCAGGAGGATGCCTAGGGTGAGGATATCGACTCCACGCCTCAGGACTGCTATCCTCTTTTGGTAGTCCAGGCTGGCAGTGATGACATTGAAGAGAGAAGCCTGAAGGCTATCAAACGGGACGTTAGGGGACTGAGGCGGTTAGTGAATGGAGCGGAAGTACAGGTGGAGCAGATATCCACACTGCAGCCCATGGAGGAGTGCCCGGTGCGGGAGGTGGAAGGGGCCTGGAGGAGGCTGCAGCCCATGGAGAGCCCCCACAGGAGCAGTCCCCAGGCCGCAGCCACAGCCCATGGAGAGTAGCCCACACAGGAGATGGGACTCTGGGGGGAGCTGTCATGCATGGACGACCCAGATTGGAACAGTTTGCTCCTGACAGATGTACCCCATACTACAGAGCCATACAGTAGCAGTTGTTGGAGAACTGCTGACTCGGCTGAAGGTGGAGAGGCCTTGCAGGGAGATCTGGACAGATTAGAGAGCTGGGCAATCAGCAACTGCAGAAATTTAACAAAGACAAGTGCCAGGTCCTGCACCTGGGACACAGCAACCCTGGCTATACGTACAGACTGTGTGATGAGACGCTGGAGAGCAGCCCTGCAGAGAGGGATCGGGGGGTTGTGGTTGACATCAAGCTGAACATCAACCAACAGTGTGCCCTGGCAGCCAGGAGGGCCAACCGTATCCTGGGGTGCATCGAGCACGGCATCACTAGTAGGTCGAGGGAGGTGATTGTCCCACTCTACTCTGCGCTCTGCAGCCTCACCTCGAGGACTCTGTGCAGTTCTGGGCACCACAGTACAAGAAAGATGTGAAACTCTTGGAGAGTGTCCAGAGAAGGGCCAGAGAGATGGTGAAGGACCTTGAGGTGAAGACGTATGCCTTCTGCCAGATCTCTTAGTACTCTGGGATGAATCCCATCAGGCCCTATAGTCTTGTATGCATTCATGTGGAGCAGCAAAGCCCACACAAATTTGGGGTTTGTTGGGACTTTATTGTTCCTGCAGTCACTGTCCTCCAGCTCAGGGCACTTGGGGTCCCACAGCCCAGTGATGATGAAGGCAAAGGCAAAGAAAGCAATAAACATCTCTGTGAATGACCCTGTCTGACCATCCCCATCAAGTAACAGACCAATGCTTTCTTTCATCCTACTTTTGCTGTTAAGATAGTCTAAAAAAAAAAAAAAAAAAAAACCATTTTATTACCCCTCACAGTACTGTCCAGCTTCAACTCAAATTGAGCTTTGGCCGTATGAATTTTCTCCCTACAAAAGCAAACAGTACCTCTGCAGTCCTTCCATATTGACTGACCTCGCCTCCAGCAAACAAGAAACTTTCCTTATCCACCTAAGCTCTTGAAGAAGGTCCCTGCCCATCTGAGCAAACCTTCTGCCACGGCTGCTTTACTGGAGCCGGGAGAGGCACTGGCACTTTGCCTTCAGCACCCTGGGCAAAGGTGGCAGCTCTGGGCTCGGCACCCAGCTGTGCCCCATTCCCTGAAGCCTCCGATTCTGCTCAGCTCTTCACTGCCATCTCTCCACATTGTCCCATGACTCACAGTTTGATTCCTCCTTGCATGCATGGAGATTAACGAGCTTAGCTACTGGCATTCCCTGGAGCTCTGGAGAAGCCATCACTGGGGTCAAGCAACTCGTGCTTGCTAAAGGCAGTGGACTGGGCACCCAGCTGCAATGGGATGGTGGTGCCAGCCCTGCAGAGCTCCCCAGACATTGCCCCATGGGCAGAGCTGCTCCAGGAGGGTTATTGCAGCCAGGAACTGGGCAAAGGTTGGGAAAGTTGGGCGTAGCCTTGTACTTTCTGCAGCTCTGCTGGGTGCCACGAGGGAGATCTACCTTGGCTTGGAGAAGAACCCCTGGGGGGCCCCCTGCCCCTGGGGGACCTCTCTCTCAGATGGGGCTCCCCTCGGACTGCGGCCGCCCTTGCCTCACCAGCCATGCCAGGGGCCTCCTGACTTCCCTCATCACTCTGCTCCTCCTCCACCTGGGCTCAGGTAAGATCCTGCGGGGCTGCTGGGGGCTCTTCCCCCTGGGCCTGACAGAGGTGCTGCTGTGGGACAGGGGAGCGGCTTTGCGAAAGGGGGGACTGGAGCCCACAGCTCGCCCGTGTTGGGTTTCACTTTCACTTTGCTTCTTTCACACAATATGGGCGCTGCCTTGGCTGCCCTTTCCGTGTCTCCTTCGCCTGCCTGAATGCTGCAGAGAGGGCTCCCACTCCCAGCACACCTCCTTCTCCTGCACGTCCTCCCTGTGTCTCTCCTCTTTCCCTGGTGTTTTCCCACGATACACAGGGGACGCAGCACGCACCAACTCTCGCACAGCTCGCCCTTTGTTACTCACTGACCCTACATTTACAATGGCAAAAACTTTCCTCCTCTCTGTGCCCTACTCCACTGCCCAGCTCAGCTCAGAGTGGTGGGACCAGGCCACTCTATCACTGCACCAATGGGGCAGGATGTCGTGCTGCCCTGCCACTTGTCCCCTCAACGCGATGCTCGCACCTTGGAGGTCAGGTGGATTAGGAAGAAGTTCTCTGAGACCGTGCACCACTACCGCAATGGACAGGACCTGTACGGGGAGCAGATGGGAGCATATTCTGGGAGGACAGAGCTGGCCAGAGATGGTCTCGCTGCTGGAAGCCTGGACTTGCGAATCACGGGGCTGAGACCCTCTGATGATGGCCAGTATGTCTGCACTGTAGAAGATGCTGATGCTTATGCCGAAGCAATTGTGGATCTGGAGGTGTCAGGTTAGTGGCTGGGTTGAGGCATTCAAGGGATGGTGCAGGTGTCCCTGGGTTTGTGTGTCCCACCCAGGACCCGGTCCCATCCTCATAGCCATCTACGAGGCCTTGCAAACAGTAGAGTGTGATGGGGCTTCTCCTATGTCAGTGAGCACTTGTCTACCAAGAAGTACACCTGTGCCCTTGCAGGCTTTTTATTGAGAGAGAGCTGCATGAATGCAATGATTTAATTCACTCTCAGGGACCCTCATTGAACTCCATCCCCATGCTGTTGTGTGGGCAGTGAGCACAGGTTTCTGAGCACGTCCTTCAGCTGTGCCAACAACAAGTGTGGGTTAGGGGTGAGAGTGGCTCCTTGAAGCGTCCAGTCCCTGAATCCCTGGGCACATGGCTGGTCTGTGCTGTGTCTGGAATGGGAGCAGATGGGGTATTTGCCTTGGAACTCAATCCCTCCCCAAGTCAAGCACCAGACACACGCTCTTCCCCCAGCCACAGGCGCTGACCCCCACCTCTCCCTGGGGGGCTACGAGGCCGGAGGCGTCCGGGTGCTGTGTCAATCGGCCGGCTGGTACCCGCTGCCGCAGCTGCTGTGGAGGGATGCTCGCGGGCAGCACCTGCCCTCGCTCTCCCAGACACATTCCCAGGACCAGGAGGGGCTCTTTGAAATCAAAGGCACCGTCATTGTGACTGGGAGCGTGGAGGGGCCCTTGTCCTGCGTGGTCAGGAACAACCGCCTCCAGCAGGAGAGGAAATTTTCCCTGCACATCGCAGGTACAAATGGCACAGCCAGAGTGAGGTGTTCCTGGACCCTGCACTTGTCCTGAGCTGCGAGAAGTCTGGGTCTTGCTCTTCTAATCCCAGGCATGTAAACACAGCAATTTTTCCTGGTGCCTTCTCTCAGCTCCCTTCTTCCACAACGCCCAGCCCTGGATGGTGGCTCTGACTCTGGTCCTCGTGCTTTTGGCTGTGTCCATTGGCCTCGGTGTTTATCTCTTTCGAAAGAAAGGTAAACTGGCAGCACAGGGATGGAGCGGAGGGAGGTGTTCTGCAGGGACCCCCCTGGGTCTGGAGCGGGGCTGAGCCCTGGCCCAGGGAGGTGCGTAGGAGGAGGAAGGGAATGTTCTCCTGGGGATGCCAAAGGCCTTAGAATCATCTTGGGTGGGAGGCCAGGGAGCATGGCTGCAGCGTGGGGCTGGTGGCAAGGCGCAGCCCCCCTGCACATGTTCCCACCCAGCAACCAAGCTGCTCTGCACACCACCTCTTCCTCCGCCTTTGCTTTTCAGCGACACAGAGCCGAGAGCTGGGAGAGTCCTTGCAGTCCCTGCCCCCAGCCCCTGGGTGTACCTGGTGGTGTCCGTGCGGGAGGGCCTGGTCTGGGTGGGCTCTGGGGGCTTGTGTGCTGGTGGCTCAGGGGTGCTGGAGGAGCAGCTGGAGCCTGGGGTGGGAGTGGGGAGTGCTGGGGCTGGGGCTGCCCTGGGCACGGGACACGGCCGGGATGGCTGAAAGGAACGGGGATCAAGGTGGGGATGGGGAGTGAGCTGCGGGGCTGCTCCGCTCTGCACTGAGCCTTCTGGGACAGGAACAAAACGTCCTCCAACAATCCTTTCTTCATTTGGGTAATGTCTACGGTGCCACTGAGATATAAGCAGCACAAGTGTCTGTTTTTACAGTTGCACTAAGAGCATTTTTCATAGCTGGACCACTATGTTTTGGGTCCCACCTTGGAACAAGGCTGTATTATCCCAGTCATGGGATGTGTTCAGGGTCTAACATGGGCTGAGCAACTTCCCTCTGATCATGCCTTACTTTCACTTTCCTTTTCAGAGAAACAAGCTGCAGAGCTGGGTAAGTCTCCTGGTGCTTCGACCCATGGCTATGCCAAGGCAATGTAAGGGGAGGGTGGGCAGCTGGGACAGAGCAGCCCAGGGCTGGCCCCTCACCCTGCCCACACCCACTGGGCACCAGCTGTGGGCTGTGACCAGCTCTCCCCTCTCCTTCCAGCATGGAGACGGTGTCTGCTGCCTCATAATAGAGGTAGGTGTGCACTGGGTTGCCCACTGCAGTGCTCCTCCTGCCCTTGCTGGGGCATGTTCAGGAGCCAAGAGGTGCCCCATCTCCTGCCCCGTGGGGCAGCTCCTGGCCCCGAGCTGGGGAAAGCCTGCCCAGGGCTGAGCTCTGCCCCTGATGGCCTGGCTCCTTCTGTCCCTGCAGTGAAGGTGACCCTGGATCCACACACGGCTCATCCCCACCTTGTTGTGTCCCAGGAAAACTGCAGTGTGAGATGGGAAATTGAATGGCAGCAGGTTCCTGACACACCAGAGAGATTTAACTATTGGTGCTGTGTGCTGGGCCGTGAGAAGTTCAGAGAGGGGAGGCACTGCTGGTTGGTGGAGGTGGAGGGAGAGCGGCTAAAGGATTCTTGGTGGGCTGTGGGGGTGGCCAGGGCATCTGTGGAGAGAAAAGGGTGGATCAACATGAGCCCTGAAGAAGGGATCTGGGCTGTGGAGTACGACAAAGGACAGCTGATGTCTCTCACATCTCCTCCCACCCCCTTGTCCCTGTTCCCTGTCCCCACAAGGATCTGGGTCTGTCTGGCCTGTACCCACGGGCAGGTGTCTTTTATCAATGCTGACACTGGGGTCCAGATCTTCACTTTCACAGCAGCCTCCTTCAATGGGGAGAACATCCACCCCTGGTTCCTGTTGTGGACATGGGGAATTCAGCTGCGCCTGAGAGACAGCACCCCCAAGACCCTGTCCCCAGCCCTGGGGAGCTCCTGCCCTTCTCCAGACACTCCTGCATCACCTCTCCTTAGTCCTGCAGGAGCAGCACAGGAATGAGGGGCAGTGGGACCAGGGGCTGCCCCGTGTTCCTTCCTGCTGCTGGAGGAGGGCTGGGATGCTGCAAGCAAGGGCCAGGCCCCTTGCAGCCCCTGGGCTCTGCCCTGCACGCGGCTCCTGTGCTGGGGCACAAGCCCTGCTGGCACCCACGGGTCTCACCCTGTCTCTGAGCCCCAGCGGGCAGCACAGGGGCTGCAGCAGCTCTCCACGCTCCTCTCCGCTCTGCTTGCACTGCTTGCAGACCCCAGGGCAAGGGATGTGGTCACCGTGTGCTGCCGGCCATTGCAGGCCACCTTTGCCTCCTAGTTCAGGGTTGATCTTTGCTCTGTGCCTGGTGCTGAGCATGAGCAGCCTGTGGGGGCTCTTTGTTCCCTCCTCTGGAGCACATCCATGCAAGACACAGCAGCAGCAGGACTGTGTCAAATAAAGTTTTGCACAGGAAGATGGAGTCTGGCAGTGGCATTTCCTGGGTGCTTTGTGTCCTGAGGCCTTGCTGCCTGGGAAGGCGTCTTGCAGCAGACCGTCTCCTCACACACCTTGCCCTGCAGAGCCTTCGCCGTCCTCGTAGCTCTCCCTTGGAGGCTCTCGCACAGTTTCACACCCTTCATCTGCTGCGGTGCCCACAGCTGCACGCAGTGCTCGAGGTGAGGCCACAGCAGGCCGAGCATAGCGGGACGATCCCTTCCCTTGGCCGGCCAGCAGTGCCGTGCCTGAGGCAACCCAGGGCATGCTTGGCCCTTTGGGGTCCCATGCCATGGCCCCACACACCCGATACTCTTGGTGAGACACCGTAGGAGTGCGTGACCCTCTGCCCTGTGCCCAGAACTCTTCACAGACACCAGTGGGGCTTGTGGAGCATCTTTATTGTCAGCACCATGACATTGGGTCTGAGATGGGGCCAAACGGGAGCCACCGGTGCCAGGAGGTGTCCGTCTGGGGGTCCTCAGATGCTGCCTGGGGAAGGGGGGGACACACAGGGTGAGAGATGGGGAAATTTGCCCCTCACTGATGTGGATGGGGATGGGGACACCGTTACCTGCGGGGTAGTTGTCTCCAGGGAGGGGGGTGTAACCTGCGGGGGGGAGTAGAGGAGTGAGCAGAGTCCTCGTCGTCCTTGACCACGGCCCCAGCTCTCCCCAGACCCTCACCTGGGGCAGGAGGCCTGGCCTTGTAGCAGTAGACGCCGGCGAGAAATAAGCCAAGTCCCAGCACCATCAGCACGGTGGCCACCACCACCAGTATCGTCACCTCCGGCATCAGTCCGGGACCTGCGGGGACACGGCCGGGTGAGTGGCAGCAAGGAGCCAAGACCACCAGCCTCAGGATGCGGTCCTGCGCCTCTCCACTCACTCCATTCCTCCAGGAGAGGCTCCTGCAGGCTGACGTGCTGCACCGAGCACGTGTAGGTGTCACCTGCCACCGGGGCCACCAGCAGGGACACCTGCGTCTGGTAGCTCCAGTCGCCGTTGGGGATGGCAGAGATGGGGTTGTAGTCGTCGGGCTCCACGATGTCCCCGTTGTGCAGCCAGATGACGGTCACCTCGGGGGGGTAGAAGCCCCAGATGTGGCAGCTGAGGCGCACGGGCACACGGGCGTTCCCCGTCTCCGTGGGGATGATGCGGACTTGGGGCTGCTCTGGAGCAGGGTTGGGGATGGGGTCAGTGGTGGGTGAGCCCCTTTTCCCTGCCCTGTGCAACGTCCCCACACAACGTTCCATGAAACGCTCCCGTGAAATGCTCCCATTCAAAGCTCTAGGCATTGTCCCATGCGTTGTCGCATGTGACATCCCCATGCAATGCCCTGTGCAACGCCCCTGAGCCACACCCTGCAAGAGGCATTGCTCTGCGCAACATCCCCTTGCAAAGGTCAATGCAATGCGCTGTGCAGTGCTGCGTGCAACATTCCCCTGTGACGTCCTCACGCAGTGTGCTCTGCAACACCCCCATGCAATGCCCCGTGCAAGTGCAACATCTTGCCGAGGTGATCAGCTCCAGAGCAAACAATTTGTGCAGCAGAGCAGGGGATCGGACAGGCACGGCTATATTTTTCCAGCATCAAGCCCACTTGTGGGAGCTGCCAGGACCCAGCAGCCCTCACCACGGAGGCTAACAAGGCTTTGGCAGAGCCAGCAGAGCCCCCTCTCAGGCTGTTCAAAAGCAGCTAATGGGGAGCGTGACGACCAGGAACGCAGCGATCAAGGTGGGCAAACAGGGCATGGCACATCAGAAGGGAGTGGCAGGCAGTTCACGCAGGCAGGGTGAGCAGGGATGGCAGAGCGTTGCCCCCCGTCCCATACAAACAACTCCTCTAAAGGAGGTTTACCACTAGCTAGGCTGCAATGGTCTCCACCAGGCACAGTGCTCTCTCTAGCAAGTCTGTGCACACCCAGACTGACTGTCCGCTCAAAAATGCACCAGTTCAGGTCTCTGGATGCAGAGAGCGTCTGAGCCTCTTGCTGCCATCTGCGGGGGGTAGAGAGACTGTGTGTGCATGAGGTGAGAGCAGGTGGATGACCTGGTCCGCCTGATGGAAGAGCTCGAGGAGGAGGTGGAGAGGTTGAGGGCTATCAGGGAGTGTGAGCGGGAGGTAGAGTGGTGGGCAACTCCTTGCGGGGCCAGAAGAAGAGGTACTGGGGTGAGACACCCCAAATGGGGGTGGACCCCCTCCCTTGCTACTGTTGGGCAGAGGGAGGGGACCTAGGAGTTGAGGAGGAATGGAGACAGGTCCCTGCTCGACATCGCAGGCGATGCCACGCCATACAGGCCCCACCTTCCCAGGTGCCCTTACACAACAGGCTTGAGGCCCTGGAGCTTGAGAGACCGGTAGCTGAGGAAGAGGTAGAAAGTGTAGCCAGGAGGATGCCTTGGGTCGACTCCAAGCCTCAGGACTACCATCCTCTTTTGATAGTCCAGGCTGGTAGTCCTGACATTGAAGAGAGAAGCCTGAAGGCTGTCAAACGGAAGGTTAGGGGACTGGGGCGGTTAGTGGATGGAGCGGGAGTACAGGTGGAGCAGATCTCCACACTACAGCCCATGGAGGAGCCCCCAGTGCAGGAGGAGGAAGGGGCCTGGAGGAGGCTGCGGCCCATGGAGAGCCCCCGCAGGTGCAGCCCCAGGCCGGAGCCACAGCCCGTGGAGAGGAGCCCACAAAGGATCAGGAGGTCTGGGGGGAGCTGCCACCTGTGGGGGACACAGATTGGAACAGTTTGCTCCTGACAGATGTACCCCATACTACAAACCCATACTGGGGCAGTTGTTGGAGAGCTGCTGCCTGTGGGAAACCAGTATATAGCATCAGTTTGGGAAGGACAGAATCCCATGGGAGGAGTTGTTGAATATCTTGAGGGTGGAAAGCCCTTGCACGGAGATCTGGACAGAGTGGAGAGCTGGGCAATCACCAACCACATGAAGTTTAACAAAGGCAAGTGCCAGGTGCTGCACCTGGGACGGGGCAACCATGGCTATACGTACAGACTGGGGGATGAGACGCTGGACAGCAGCCCTGCAGAGAGGGATCTGGGGGTTGTGGTTGAAAGCAAGCTGAACATGAGCCAGCAGTGTGCCCTAGCAGCCAGGAGGGCCAACCGTATCCTGGGGCGCATCAAGCACGGCATTGCTAGTCGGTCAAGGGAGGTGATTCTCCCACTCTACTCTGCACTCTGCAGCCTCTCCTCGAGGACTCTGTGCAGTTCTGGGCACCACAGTACAAGAAGGATGTGAAACTATTGGTGAGTGTTGATAGAAAGGCCCCAGAGATGGTGAAGGGCCTAGAGGGGAAGATGTATGCATTCAGCCAGATCTCTTCGTACTCTGGGATTAATCCCATCAGGCCCTATAGTCTTGTATGCATTCATCTGGAGCAGCAAATCCCACACAAATTCGGGGTTTGTTGGGACTTTATCGTTCCTTCAGTCACTGTCCTCCAGCTCAGGGCACTTGGGGTCCCACAGCCCATCATCAGTGTTGAAGGCAAAGAAAACATTAAACATCTCTGTGAAGTCGATGACCCTGTCTGACCATCCCCATCAAGTAACAGACCAATGCTTTCTCTCATCCTACTTTTGCTGTTAAGAGAGTTTAAAAAAATAATGCATTTTATTGCCCCTCCCAGTACTATCCAGCTTCAACTCAAATTGAGCTTTGGCCATACAAATTTTCTCCCTACGAAAGCAAACTGTACCTCTGTAATCCTTCCATATTCACTAACCTCGCTACCAGCAAACAGGAACTTTCCTCCTCCACCTAAGCTCTTGAAGAAGGTCCCTGCCCATCTGAGCAAACCTTCTGCCATGCCTGCTTTACTGGAGCCGGGAACAGCACTAGCACTTTGCCTTCAGCACCCTGGGCAAAGGGTGGCAGCTCTGGGCTCAGCACCCAGCTGTGACCCATTCCCTGCAGCCTCCGATCCTGCTCAGCTCTTCACTGCCATCTCTCCACATTTTCCCATTGCTCACAGTTTGATTCCTCCTTGCACGCGTGGAGATGAACGACCTTAGCCAGTGGCTTTCCCTGGAGGTCTGGAGAGGCCCCTGCTGGGGACAAGCAACTTGTGCTTGCTAAAGGCAGTGGACTGGGCACCCAGCTGCAATGGGATGGTGGTGCCAGCCCTGCAGAGCTCCCCAGACATTGCCCCATGGGCAGAGCTGCTCCAGGAGGGTTATTGCAGCCAGGAACTGGGCAAAGGTTGGGAAAGTTGGGCGTAGCCTTGTACTTTCTGCAGCTCTGCTGGGTGCCGTGAGGGAGATCTACCTTGGCTTGGAGAAGAACTTCTGGGGGGCCACCTGCCCCCTGGGGGACCTCTCTCTCAGATGGGGACAGTCTGGGGCTGCAGCCTCCCCAGCCTCGCCGGCCATGCCAGGGGTCTCCTTACTTCCCTCGTCACTCTGCTCCTCCTCCGGCTGAGCTCAGGTAGGATCCTGCAAGGCTGCTGGGGGCTCTACCCCGTGGGGCTGGCATACTTGCTGCTGCAGGACAGGGGAGCAGCTGTGGGGCTGGGGGACCTGAGCCCATACCTCAGCCCTCATTGGTTTTCCCTTCTTTTTACTTCTTTCACACAATACGGGGGCTGCCTTGACTGCCCTTTCTGGCTCTTCTTCACCTGCCCAAATGCTGCAGAGAGGGTTCCCACTCCCAGCACCCCTCCTTCTCCTGCACATCCTCCCTCTCCCTCTCCTGTTTCCCAGGTGGTTTCCCATGGGACACGGGGGAGGCACCACGCACCAACTCATGCATCTCTTGCCCTTTGAGACTCACTGCCCCTATATTTACAATGGCAAAAACTCACCTCTTCTCTGTGCCCTTCTCCATTGTCCAGCCCAGCTCAGAGTGCTGGGACCAGGCCACTCTGTCACTGCCGCTGTGGGGCAGGATGTCGTGCTGCCCTGCCACTTGTCCCCTCAACGCGATGCTCGCACCTTGGAGGTCAGGTGGATCCGGGACAAGTTCTCTGAGACAGTGCACCACTACCGCAATGGTGAGGACCTGTACGGGGAGCAGATGGAGGCATATGCCAGGAGGACAGAGTTGCTCAGAGATGGTCTCTCTGCTGGAAGCCTGGACTTGCGAATCACAGGGCTGAGACCCTCTGATGATGGCCAGTACGTCTGCACTGTGGGAGATGCTGATGCTTATGATGAAGCCATTGTGGAGCTGGAGGTGTCAGGTTAGTGGCTGTGGTGATGCTGCCAGGGCAGAGTTTACATGTCCTTTGAATGTTTCAGCTGTTTCACAGCATGGAGCATGCCCATGGATGTGGAGGTAATATCTGGGGAGAGAACTCCATGAATATTTTTGTCAGTTTTCACTGGTGTCCTTGAAGACAATAATCATAATATTGTGAGGGCACTGGGCACAGGCTGCTGAGCAGCACCTTCAGCTGTGTCAGCAATGGGACCAAACAGCACACAGGGAGAATTGCAGAGTCCTCTGAGCAGCTGGACATCTGCTTTACTTTTGCTTTCTGTGCTGGGGGAGACCTGAGACATTGCCTGGAAGTCTTGGGGCTTCTTGAACCAGCACGGCTTGGTGCAGAGATGCTGCCTGGAGGTGCTGAAGCTCAGCACTTGGGTTTTCTGGGCAGTTTCAAGCCACTGGAATTGTGCAGCCTTCCTCTCTGGGTTCGGTACATACGAGGGTGTTTTTGGGGTGAGGGTGAGTGCGTGGAGTGCCTGGTCATTGAGCCCCTGGGGCCGTAGCTGTGAAGGGCTGTGTCTGGCATGGGAGCAGATGGGGTCTTTGCCTTGAAATGAATTCCTTTCCCAAGTCAAGCCCCAGACATGCGCTCTTCCCCCAGCCACAGGTGCTGACCCCCACATCTCCCTGGGGGGCTACGAGGCCGGAGGCGTCCGGGTGCTGTGTCGATCGGCCGGCTGGTACCCGCTGCCGCAGCTGCTGTGGAGGGATGCTCGCGGGCAGCACCTGCCCTCGGTCTCCCAGACACATTCCCAGGACCAGGAGGGGCTCTTTGAAATCGAAGGCGCCGTCATCGTGACCGGGAGTGTGGAGGGGCCCTTGTCCTGCGTGGTCAGGAGCAGCCGCCTCCAGCAGGAGCGGGAATCATCCCTGCACATCTCAGGTACAAATGGCACAGCCAGGGTGAGGTGTACCTGGCCACTGCACTTGTCCTGAGCCAGAGGAAGTCTGGGTCTTGCTCTTCCACCTGCGGGCATGGAAACGCAGCCCTTTACCGGGTGCCTTTTCTCAGCTCCCTTCTTCCACAACGCCCAGCCCTGGATGGTGGCTCTGGCTCTGGTCCTCGTGCTTTTGGCTGTGTCCATTGGCCTCAGTGTTTATCTCTTTCAAAAGCAAGGTAAGCTGGCAGCACAGGGATGGAGCAGAGGGAGGTGATCTGCAGGGACCCCCCTGGGTGTGGAGCGGGACTGAGCCCTGGCCCAGGGAGGTGGGTAGGAGGAGGAAGGGAATGTTCTTCTGGGGATCCCAAAGGCCTTAGGATCGTCTTGGGCCTCTGCCTTGGGCACGGAAGGCAGGGGAGAAGGCAAGGGGCCTTGGGTGGGAGGCCAGGGAGCATGGCTGCAGCGTGGGGCTGGTGGCGAGGCGCAGCCCCCCTGCACATGTTCCCACCCAGCAACCAAGCTGCTCTGCTCACCACCTGTTCCTCCGCCTTTGCTTTTCAGTGGCACAGAGCTGAGAGCTGGGAGAGTCCTTGCAGTCCCTGCTCCCAGCCCCTGGGAACTGGTGTTGTGCCTGTGGGAGAGCCTGGGCTGGGTGGGCTCTGGGGGCTTGTGTGCTGGTGGCTCAGGGGGTGCTGGAGGAGCAGCTGGAGCCTGGGGTGGGAGTGGGGAGTGCTGGGGCTGGGGCTGCCCTGGGCATGGGACACGGCCGGGATGGCTGAAAGGAACGGGGATCAAGGTGGGGACGGGGAGTGAGCTGCTGGGCTGCCCTACTCTGCACTGACGCTTCTGGGACAGGAACGGAATATCCTCCAACAATCTTTTTTTCATTTGGGTAATGTCTACGGTACCACTGAGATATAATCTGCACAAGTGTCTGTGTTTCCAGATGCACTAAGAGCATTGTTCATAGCTGGACCGCTATGTTTTTGGTCCCACCTTGGAAAAAGGCTGTATTATCCAAGTCATGGGATGTATTCAGGGTCTAACAGAGGCTGAACAACTCTCCCTCTGATCATGCCTTACTTTCACTTTCCTTTTCAGAGAAACAAGCTGCAGAGCTAGGTGAGTGTCCTGGTGCTTCAACCCATGGCTATGCCAAGGCAATGTAAGGGGAGGGTGGGCAGCTGGGACAGAGCAGCACAGGGCTGGCCCCTCACCCTGCCCACACCCACTGGGTACCAGCCATGGGCTGTGACCAGCTCTCCCCTCTCCTTCCAGCATGGAGACGGTGTCTGCTGCCTCATAATAGAGGTAGGTGTGCACTGAGTTACCCTCTGTGGTTCTTCTCCTTCCCTTACTGGGACATGTTCAGGAGCCAAGAGGTGCCCCATCTCCTGCCCCGTGGGGCAGCTCCTGGCCCTGAGCTGGGGAAAGCCTGCCCAGGGCTGAGCTCTGCCCCTGATGGCCTGGCTCCTTCTGTCCCTGCAGTGAAGGTGACCCTGGATTCGCGCACGGCTCATCCCTGGCTTGTGGTGTCTCAGGACAACAGCAGTGTGAGATGCGGAAGTGAACGGCAGCAGGTGCCTGACACACCAGAGAGATTTGACTGTTGGTGCTGCATGCTGGGCCGTGAGGAGTTCAGAGAGGGGAAGCACTGCTGGTTGGTGGAGGTGGAAGGAGAGCAGATAAAGAATTCAGGGTGGGCTGTGGGGGCGGCCAGGACTTCTGTAGAGAGAAAGAAGTGGATCAACATGAGCCCTGAAGTAGGGATCTGGGCGGTAGAGTACTATAATGATCAGCTCAAGTCTCTAACATCTCCTCCCACTCAGTTGACCCTGTCCCCTGTCCCCACGAGGATCTGGGTCTGTCTGGACTGTACCCACGGGCAGGTGTCTTTTATCAATGCTGACAATGGGGTCCAGATCTTCACTTTCACAGCAGCCTCCTTCAATGGGGAGAGCATCCGCCCCTGGTTCCGGTTGTGGACATGGGGAATTCAGCTGTGCCTGAGGGACAGCACCCCCAAGACCCCAGCCCCAGCCCTGGGGAACTCCAGCCCTTCTCCAGACACTCCTGCATCACCTCTCCTTCATCCTGCAGGAGCAGCACAGGAATGAGGGGCAGTGGGGCCAGGGGCTCTCCTTTATTCCTCCCTGCTGCTGGGGGAAGGCTGGGATTCTAAAACCAGGGACCAGGCCCCTTGCAGGCCCTGGGCTCTGCCCTGCACATGGCTCCTGTGCTGGGGCACAAGCCCTGCTGGCACCCACGGCTCTCACCCTGCCTCTGAGCCCCAGCGGGCAGCACAGGGGCTGCAGCAGCTCTCCACGCTCCTCTCCCCTCTGCTTGCACTGCTTGCAGACCCCAGGGCAAGGGATGTGGTCACCGTGTCCTGCCGGCCATTGCAGGCCACCTTTGCCTCCTAGTTTGGGGTTGATCCTTGCTCTGTGCCTGGTGCTGAGCATGAGCAGCCTGTGGGGGCTCTTTGTTCCTTCCTCTGGAGCATATCAAGGCCCAGCAGCAGCAGGACTGTGGCAAATAAAGTTTTGTACAGGAAGATGGAGTCTGGCAGTGGCATTTCCTGGGTGCTTTGTGTCCTGAGGCCTTGCTGCCTGGGAAGGTGTCTTGCAGCAGACCGTCTCCTCACACGCCTTGCCCTGCAGAGCCTTCGCCGTCCTCGTAGCCCTCCCTTGGAGGCTCTCGCACAGTTTCACGCCCTTCGTCTGCTGCAGTGCCCACAGCTGCACGCAGTGCTCGAGGTGAGGCCACAGCAGGCCGAGCAGAGCGGGACAATCCCTTCCCTCGGCCGGCCAGCAGTGCCGTGCCTGAGGCACACCAGGGCACACTTGGCCCTTTGGGGTCCCATTCCATGGCCCCCACACACCCACTCCTCTTGCTGAGACACTGTAGGAGTGTGTGAGCCTCTGCCCTGTCCCCAGAACTCTGCACAGACACCAGCGGGGCTTGTGGAGCATCTTTATTTTAGGAGATGGGGCCAAACGGGAGCCGCTGGTGCTGGGAGGTGTCCGTCTGTGGGTCCTCAGATGCTGCCTGGGGAAGGGGGGGACACAAATGGGGAGAGATCGGGTGATTCGACCCTCACCAATGGGGACGGGAATGGGGACACCTCAACCTGTGCGGTAGTTGTCTCCAGGGAGGGGAGTGTAACCTGCTGGGGGGAGAAGAGGAGTCAGCAGAGTCCTCGTCACCCTTGACCACGGCCCCGGATCTCCCCGGACACTCACCCGGGGCGGGAGGCCTGGCCCTGAAGCGGTAGATGCCGGTGAGAAATAAGCCAAGTCCCAGCACCATCAGCACGATGGCCACCGCCACCAGTATCGTCACCTCTGGAATCAGTCCGGGACCTGCGGGGACACGGCCGTGTGAGTGGCAGCAAGGAGCCAAGGCCGCCGGCCTCCAGGTGAGGTCCTGCACGTCTCCACTCACTCCAGTCCTCCAGGAGAGGCTCCTGCAGGCTGACGTGCTGCACTGAGCACGTGTAGGTGTCGCCTGCCACCGGGGCCACCAGCAGGGACACCTGCGTCTGGTAGGTCCAGTCACCGTTGGGGATGGCGGAGATGGGGTTGTAGTCATCGGGCTCCACGATGTCCCCGTTGTGCAGCCAGATGACGGTCACCTCGGGGGGGTAGAAGCCCCAGATGTGGCAGCTGTGGCGGACGGGCACAAGGGCGTTCCCCGTCTCTGCGGGGATGATGCAGACTTGGGGCTGAGCTGGAGCAGGGATGGGGATGGGGTCAGTGGTGGGCGAGCCCCTTTTCCCTGCCCTGTGCAACGTCCCCACGCAATGTTCCGTGCAACACTCCCATGCAAATCTCTAGTCATTCTCCCATGCGATGTCACGTGCGACATCCCCATGCGATGCCCTGTGCAAGGCCCCTGTGCCACACCCTGCAAGAGGCATTGCTCTGTGCAACATCCCCTTGTAAAGGGCAATGCAATGCGCTGTGCAGTGCTCCGTGCAACATCCCCCTGTGATGTCCTCACGCAGTGTGCTCTGCAACACCCCCATGCAATGCCCGGTGCAAGATCTCCTTGCAACATGCTCTGAAACACCCATGCGCAACATCCCCATGCAATGCCCAGGGCAACATCTTGTCAAGGTGATCAGCTCCATTGCAGATTCTTTCTGCAGCGGATCAGGGGATCGGACAGGCAGGGCTATTTTTTTCCGGCATCGAGCCCACTTGAGGGTGCCGCCAGGACCCGGCAGATCTCGCGACGTAGGCTGACGACACGTAGGCAGAGCCAGCAGGACCCCCTCCTTGGCAGTTCAAAAGCTGCCCATGGGGAGTGCAACAACCAGGAATGCAGCGATCCGGGAGGGCAAACAGGACATGGCGCATCAGAAGGGAGTGGCAGGCAATTCATGCAGGCAGGGCGAGAAGGGAGGGCAGAGCGTTCCCCCCCAGACCATACGAACAACTCCTCTAACGGCGGTCTACCATTACCTAGGCTGCAATGGCCTCCACCAGGCACAGTGATCTCTCTAGCAAGTCTGTGCACACCCAGACTGAGTGCCCGCTCAAAAATGCACCAGTTCACGTCTCTGGGTGCACGGAGCATCTGAGCCTCTTGCTGCCATCTGCAGGAGGCAGAGAGACTGTGTGTGCGTGAGGTGTGAGCAGGTGGATGACCTGGTCCGCCTGGTGACAGAACTCAAGGAGGAGGTGGAGAGGTTGAGGGCTATCAGGGAGTGTGAGCGGGAGATAGAGTGGTGGGGCAACTCCCTGCGGGGCCTGAAGGAGAGGTACCAGGGTGAGACACCCCAAATGGGGGTGGACCCCCTCCCTTGTTACTGTTGGGCAGAGGGAGGGGACCTAGGAGTTGAGGAGGAATGGAGACAGGTCCCTGCTCGACATCGCAGGCGATCCCCTCCCCAAAAGGCCCCACCTTCCCAGGTGCCCTTCCAGAACAGGTTTGGAGCTCTGGAGCTTGAGGGACCGGTAGCTGAGGAAGAGGTAGAAAGTGTAGCCAGGAGGATGCCTAGGGTGAGGAAGTCAACTCCACGCCTCAGGACTGCCTCCACCAGGACAGAAAGAAGGGAGATTGTTGTAGGCGACTCCCTTCTCAGGGGAACAAAGGGCCCTAATTGTCATCCTGACCCTAGCTGTAGGGAAGTCTGCTTCCTCCCTGGGGCCAAGGTCAAGGAAATTGCCAGAAAACTTCCCAACCTCGTTTACCCCTCTGACTACTATCCCCTTTGATAGTCCAGGCTGGCTGTGATGACATTGAAGAGAGAAGTCTGAAGGCTGTCAAGCAGGACGTTAGGGGACTGGGGTGGTTAGTGGATGGAGCGGGAGTACAGGTGGAGCAGATCTCCACACTGCAGCCCATGGAGGAGCCCCCGGTGCAGGAGGTGGAAGGGGCCTGGAGGAGGCTGCGGCCCATGGAGAGCCCCCGCAGGAGCAGGCCCCAGGCAGGAGCTGCAGCCCGTGGAGAGGAGCCCACAAAGGATCAGGAGGTCTGGGGGGAGCTGTCATGCATGCACGACCCAGACTGGAACAGTTTGCTCCTGACAGATGTACCCCATACTACAGACCCACACTGGGGCAGTTGCTGGAGAGCTGCTGCCTGTGGGAAGCCAATGTAGGATCAGTTTGGGAAGGACGGCATCCCGTGGGAGGAGTTGTGCACTCGGCTGAGGGTAGAAAGCCCTTGCAGGGAGATCTGGACAGACTGGAGAGCTGGGCAATCACCAACTGCATGAAGTTTAACAAAGGCAAGTGCCAGGTCCTGCACCTGGGATGGGGCAACCCTGGCTATACGTGCAGACTGGGTGACGAGATGCTGGAGAGCAGCCCTGCAGAGAGGGATCTGGGGGTTGTGGTTGACAGCAAGCTGAACATGAGCCAGCAGTGTGCCCTAGCAGCCAGGAGGGCCAACCGCATCCTGGGGTGCACGGTATGGCTAGTCAGTCGAAGGAAGTGATTGTCCCGCTCTACTCTGCACTGGTGCAGCCTCACCTCAAGTACTCTGTGCAGTTCTGGGCACCACAGTACAAGAAGGATGTGAAACTATTGGAGAGTGTCCAGAGAAGAGCCACAGAGATGGTGAAGGGCCTAGAGGGGAAGATGTATGACTTCAGCCAGTTCTCTTCGTACTCTGGGATGAATCCCATCAGGCCCTATAGTCTTGTATGCATTCATCTGGAGCAGCAAAACCCACACAAATTCGGGGTTTGTTGGGACTATATCGTTCCTGCAGTCACTGTCCTCCAGCTCAGGGCACTTGGGGTCCCACAGCCCAGTGATGTTGAAGGCAAAGGCAAAGAAAGCAATAAACATCTCTGTGAATGACCCTGTCTGACCATCCCCATCAAGTAACAGACCAATGCTTTCTTTCATCCTACTTTTGCTGTTAAGATAGTTTAAGGAAAAAAAAAAAAAAAAAAAAAAAGAAAAAGCATTTTATTGCCCTTCACAGTACTGTGCAGATACAACTCAAATTGAGCGTTGGCCATATGAATTTTCTCCCTACATAAGCAAACAGTATCTCTGTAGTCTTTCCATGTTGCCTGACCTCGTCTCCAGCAAACAGGAACTTTCCTTATCCACCTAAGCACTAGAAGAGTCCATCTTAGCCAACGTTACGCCACGGCTGCTTTACTGCACCTCTTCATAAGGAAATGCGTTCGGAAGACGCTGCATCCGATAGAAGCAGGTGATCCAAACAGACCGAACCTCAGTGAGATGGAGCCTCCGTGGCTGCAGGACTCCCTTGGCCTCTTCAAAGGTTTAACTATATGAAGGTGGGAAGCTAAGAATAGGTTTTGAACCCAGCTACACAATGAGCAGACACAGATGCTCTCCTCCAGCTGGTTCTCAATGCCAAGCTGAGTGGTCTCCACACGCAACCATCCATCTTCATGCACGTGGGGTCTCACCATCCCCAAACCCCATTGTCCTCCACTCCAGTGGGGATCCACCACCACAAACCCCATCCACCTTCACCCCAGTGGGGTCTCAGCATCTCCAAAACCCCATCATCCTCCATTCCACTGGGCTCTCACCAACCCCAAACCTCAAAACCCTCCACCCACTGCTGTCCTACCATCCTCTCTGCCAATTATCCTACACCCCACTGGGCTCCCACCATCCCCAAAGCCATCCCAGGGCCAGGGACTGACTGACCACCACGTTCCCTAAGCGCTACGAGAAGCTGTACCATGACCACCAGCTGCATGCCTGGTCCTCCTCAATTCACAGATGTAATCTTCAGAGGGTTGTTTGGGAAGAACAGTAAAAGTTAGGCTCCACATGGCTTTTGTGGTGGAGGAGGAGGGCTGAGGGAACAGTGAAGCCCATCCCGCAGTCAGGGCACTGATGGGGTTTCCCTACCAAGTGCTTTTTCCAATGTTGGTTGAACACCGAGCTTTCAGAGAAGGCTTCCCCGCAGTCAGAGCAGGGATAAGGGGGTTGTCCCCAGTGAGTCCTGAGATGGGCTAAGTAGACTGAATTCTTTGCAAGGCTATACTGCACTGGGGACATTTATAGGTCCCCCAGCCTGCCCGCTGGCAGGACAGAGCAAGAAGCTGAGAAGTCCTTGGCTTGGTGTAAACACTGCTCTGCAACAATTGAAACATCAGCATGTTATCAGCACTCTTCTCATCCTAAGCCAAAACATACCATTCTACCAGCTACTAGGAGAAAAATTAACTCTATCTTAATTGAAACCAGGACAGGATTTCATGATGACATCAGCCAGTTTTCTTAGTACTCTGGGATGAATCCCATCAGGCCCTATAGTCTCCACCTGTAGGAGCAAATTGCATGCTAATTCAGCATTTGCTGGGAGTTTATCATTCCTGCTCTCACGGTCCTCCAGCTCAGGGCAACTGGGGTCCCAGAGCCCATTGTCAGTGTTGAAAACAAAGGCAAAAAAAGCATTAAACATGCCCCTGTTTGTGAGGAGACCATCCCCATCAAGTAAAGGACCACTGTTTTCTCCGGTTCTACTTTTGCTCTTTAGATATTTTATAAAAGTCAGTTTTATTTCCCCCAACAGTTCTGTCAAGCTTCAACTCAAATTGAGCTTTAGCCATATGAATTCACCCTGATAAGGACTAGGGCAGCAGATTCTGAGCCATCGCATAGTTCCTTAAAGAACAGTTCATCCATGTCATCATCCTAGCTGCATGCAGAAGCTGTCCCTCTGGTCCTTGGAAGCCATTTCCACACCAAAGTCTCCACCGTGCTGCAGAAGGGCTTTGCTTGCCAGAGGGCAAAAGGTCTGCCCATTTCTGCCTCCACTGGGATGGACAGAGCCGGGAGTGGGGCTGGCTCTTTGTCCCCACCACCCTGGGAAAAGGGTGGCACTGAGATGCTCAGCAGCCAGCTGTGCCTCTTTCCCTGCAGCCTCCGATGTCGCTCTGCCCTGCAGCATCTTGCACCCATCCCCCAAGGGTCAGGGCTCCTCCCAGAGTGTTACTGCAGATAAGAACTGAGCAGAAGTTGGTGAAGTCACGTGTAGCCTTCTAGTTCCTGCAGCTATGGTGGGTGCTGAGAGGGACGACTATTTTGGTGAGACTGCCTTGGAGAAGAACACCTGGGGCTGCCTTCTGTGTCCCCCACTCGATGATAAGTGCAGGCTCTGCACCCTGCCCAAGACGCTGCTGGCCGTGGCCCCCTGTGCCCAGGCCTGCAGCCCCTCAGTACCTTACTCTTCTACTCCCAGATCCTGCTCCCGCTGCAGCACAGATGGGGATCCCCTGGGGTTGCGGCCTCCCCAGCCTCACCGGCCATGTCAGCGGCTTCCTGACTTCCCTCGTCACTCTGCACCTTCTCCAGCTGGGCTCAGGTAGGATCCTGCAGGGATGCTGGGGGCTCTCCCCTCTGTGCATGCAGATGTGCTGCCATAGGGCAGGGGAGCGGCTCCAGGGTAGGGGGACCAGAGCCCAGAGCTTGTTCCCCGCTGGGTTTCACTTTCCCTTTGGTTCTTTCACACAATATGGGCGCTGCCTTGGCTGCCATTTTTGGCTCTTCTTCTCCTGCCCGAATGCTGCAGAGAGGGCTCCCACTCCCAGCACACCTCCTTCTCCTGCACGTCCTCCCTCTCCTTTTTTTCGGGTGGTTTCCCATGGGACACAGGGGACGCAGCATGCACCGACTCATGCACCAACTCAACTCACTGCCCCTAAATTTACGATGCCAAAATCTTACATCCTCTCTGTGCCTTTCTCCATTGCCCAGTGTGAGAAACATCTCAAATAATTTTCTTCAGACAGAATCTTCTCTGAAGCTATTTTATTTGCAATTGCAGTGGTCCTGTCAATCAGGAGCACATTTCAGTAAACAAATCCTAACCTTTTATTCCCTATTACCCAACACCTGATCACCCCCCCGTTTCCTCTTTGGCTGAGTACTACAGGTTCACAAGCTACTCAACGCTCCTCAATACTATATATGTATAATTTTTCTTTCTTCTTCTTTTTTTTTTCCAACCCTTTAATTTCTCCTTTCTTATGTTTTGAGAACTTGTGATCTTTGTTCTCCTGTTCTCGCAATGCTCATCCTCTTTTTCTCACACTTCTACCTTATTTTGGAACAGTGAGGCCTTGTACGGTCCACTTATCTCCTTAGCATTTCTCCTTATTATGACTACACAATTACCTTGGAATACAGAAAAATAATTCTCTACTGCAAAAATAGAACTTTGTTTCTCACAGTTCCTCCCTCCTCTTATCTTACTCCTATTGTTGTTTTTGCACTTCTTCACATACCGCACTCTTCAGTTTTTCCAACATTAAGGTGCAATATTCTTCTTCGGATGTCACGGGGGATGATACATATACAATGCCATTATTTTACAATACTAACAAATAGTTGTGTGAACCACTTCTATTCAGCCAATTACAAAATTAGTTTCTCCCAAATGTTTCTAAATCCCAAGGAAGTGTCATCTTGAGTTACTCTATGTAGGATCTTGTGGTTTTATGTTTGTTTGTTTGTTTGCTTGTTTTGGTTTGGTTTTGGTTTTCCCAAATAATTTTTTAGATCAGTGAAATTCTTCCCATTTGATCTACATATATACAGAAACTAGTATTAATTACAGGGCATGCTCCTCCTTACGAGGTTATTAAAAAATCTAATACTCTTTGATTCTAGAGTACTATTTTTGCAAACTTATTTTCTAGATCTTCAATATTTTTACAATATTTTTGTGTTTTGAGATGTTTACAATAGCTTTTTGTAATTGACTCACCCTTAACCAAGGCAAAAAACACCTTGCAAAACTGTAAAATGCTAGAGAGTTTTACTAAAGGATTATCTGGAGTCCACTTAATTCTGTGTGTGGTCTCAAGGGGGCTTTGGCTTTGTGGGTCTTCAATAATAGTTACATTTGGAATTATTGCCTCCAGGGTGCAAGCTCCCTTCCATCCTAGGGGCAACACCTTCCTAGCTTTATTGCCTTATAGCCAGTACCACCCCTTGCCATTCAGGACAGGCCATCTGGTTACAGGATTCTCATGTTGCATCTGGTGTGCATTATGCATATTAGCATTCCCGTGGTTGCCATAGTTGGTACAGTACGGATGATTCCCTACTCCATGGATATTTCCACACACAGGGTCAGTACTATTGCCCCCTGAGTTTCTACCAATATTGTTTAAAAGGTACCTTTGGTAACACAGTATATTGTAGCCAGGGTTACATGTAGGGAACTCAACTTCAAAATCTATTCCTTCCCGGGACTGTGTATGATCTGTCCTTTCTAGAAATCTAGAGATTCCAGACACAGTTGCTGCCGGAAATAGTAATCAGGGACAAGGCCTTTCCAGTCTTTCTAGGCATCTGGGTGCAAATCCAACAATTATTTCAAGATGGAACTCAAGAGATGTTCTGGATTAATTGGGAATGCTGATTTTTCCCTCCATCCTATCACTAATCCATTGAGAATAGCTATTACTAAGATAAACTCAAAATACATCATTACTATATTACTATGTACACACCCCTAAAATAATAAAGAAATAATAAGTAAGAGAAACAATAGAAATCACATACTAATAAGGATTCTTCTGGTGGGGATTAAATACCCTTCTTTCTCCTACTTCCAGGGAGTGTTCCCTGGAAACACTCCAATTCTGTGTAATTCAATCCCTCTTACTCATTAATTCATTACAAATTCTTCTAAGGAGAAGTTAAAGATTTACAATAAACAGTTTCAACAGTTTTAACCTGAAAAGTCTTTGTTAATGCAGTCTCTCTGGTATCAGAGTTAACTGATGCTTTTACCCAGATATGAGTCCACCCTTTCTCAGCTGTTCTTACTGTCATTTCAATAGTCAGGAGCACTTGGAACAGTCTATCCCACTCAGGTTGCAGTTTCAGTTCTCTCCATATTTGTATCAGAACCCAAGCTCCTTCTCAAAATTGTTGGATCAGAGCTCCCAAGGGTGGGGTTTGAGCTAACAGTCCATGACTCCTGAGAGATGACAAAGAGGATGACAGCCCGAGTACATATTTTTTAAGAAAAGCATCTTTTGTCTCAAATTGAGGTAATTCATTCCCTTTGTCCATGTACAGCAATCCAAATAATATTTCATATGGTGAAACTCCCACATCTTTTCTTGGTGCAGTTTGAATTCGGAGAAGTGCCAAAGGCAAGCATTTTTGGGGGGAAGCTGAGTTTCCAGGACTTAGTCAATTGCTTCTTTACTGTCTAATCCACTCCACCCTTCCAGAAGAAGATGAATGCCAAGGAGTGTGAAATTTTCAGTTAATTCCTACAGTCCACGTTAGCCCTTGCAATATTTCTGACATAAAGTGATTTCCTTGATCAGAGTCAATACTTTCAAAAATTCCATACCTGGGAGTTATTTGTTCCAGAATTACTTTAGTTACTATGTTCGCAGTAGCAGATACTGAAGGGATAGCTTCCACCCACCCTGACAAATGATCTACCAAGACTAGTAAGTATATAAATCTACCTGCTCTAAGGAGTTCTGTAAAATCCTCCTGTACGTTTTGGAAGCATTGAATTCCTGTTTCTTGCCCTCTTCAGGCTGACTGTTTTAAAGTCCTATTTCCCTTTTGACATACTACGCAACTCCTGCGTACTTGTTCAGCCAGAATATATATATTCCTTTGCGTACTTCTTTCCATAGCACAGCATCACACATTGCTTGAATTCCCCAATGACATTCTTGATATAAAACAGTTAATACTCGCCTCAATAGCACTTTATTCAGCATTTCGCTCCCATCAGGGAGTATCTGTTTTCCTTTGGACTTTGTGACTCCTAATTCCTTAAAAACCTCTTTCTCTTAAAACGGTTTAGTTAGGGGTAGCTCAACAATTCCCTGTATCCTCTCTGGATTTATTTTTCATTCCCCCTCAGACACTAGATGCCCTAAATATTTGACTTCTCTTTCTACCAATTTTAATTTATTTTCCAATACTTTCAAGCCCTGTTTTCCCAGAAAGGTGAATAGCTTGTTAGTGGCTTCCTTCACAACTGTTTTCTCCTGTCCTGACAATAAAAGATCATCCACATAACACCGTCTTTGGAGGTTGGAAGTACTCCAGAATTTCTTCTAGAACTTTCCCTAGTTAATTAGTGACCCTGTAAACCCATGAGGTAAGATTGTCTCTCTGTATTGCTGCTATTGCCCCATTTTAGAGTCTTTCTACTCAAAGGCAAACATATCTTTGTTCTCAGGGTGTGAGAGCACCACATTAATAACACCGTTATTCCAGTCTAACAATTTACTATTTGAATGCCCAATTTCATGATCAAGTCCTTTCCCAACAAGTTAGTCCCTGCCTCGGTTGCATACAATAGTTGCAGTGGTAGCCCCTGTGAAAAGAATTCAGCAGCTGCCCCATGTTAGGTAAGGGCCAGTTTCAGCCAGCTCCAAAGGGGCTTCCTCTGCCCCGAGCCAAGCCATGAGCAATGCAGTTTAAATCTCTATGAGAGCACAGCCAAATGCTGCAGAGAGGGCTCCCACTCCCAGCACACCTCCTTCTCCTGCACGTCCTCCCTCTCCGTCTCCTGTTTCCTGGGTGGTTTCCCATGGGACACATGGGACGCAGCACACACCAACTCACACACAGCTCGCCCTTTGTCACTCACTGACCCTAAATTTACGATGCCAAAATCTCACCGCCTCTCTGTGCCCTTCTCCATTGGCCAGCCCAGCTCAGAGTGGTGGGACCAGGACACCCCGTCACTGCCACCGTGGGGCAGGATGTCGTGCTGCCCTGCCACTTGTCCCCTCAACGCGATGCTCGCACCTTGGACGTCAAGTGGATCCGGGACAGGTTATCTGAGACAGTGCACCACTACCACAATGGAGAGGACCTCTATGGGGAGCAGACGGGAGCATATGCCGGGAGGACAGAGTTGGCCACAGATGGTCTCTCTGTTGGAAGCCTGGACTTGCTAATCACGGGGCTGAGACCCTCTGATGATGGCCAGTACGTCTGCACTGTGGGAGATGCTGATGCTTATGACGAAGCCATTGTGGAGCTGGAGGTGTCAGGTTAGTGGCTGGGGTGATGCTGCCAGGGCAGAGTTTACGTGTCCTTTGAATGTTTCAGCTGTTTCACAGCATGGAGCATGCCCATGGATGTGGAGGTAATATTTGGGGAGATAGCTTCCTGGATACTTTTGTCAGTTTTCACTAGTGTCCTTGAAGACGCTAATCATAATATTGTGAGGGCACTGGGCACAGGCTGCTGAGCAGCACCTTCAGCTGTGTCAGCAATGGGACCAAGCACCACACAGGGAGAGTCGCAGAGTCCTTTGAGCAGGCAGACGTCTGCTTTACTTTTGCTTTCTGTGCTGGGGGAGACCTGAGACATTGCCTGGAAGTCTCGGGGCTTCTTGAACCATCACGGCTTGGTGCAGATATGTTGCCTGGAGGTGCTGAAGCTCAGCACTTGGGTTTTCTGGGCAATTTCAAGCTACTGGAATTGTGCAGCCTTGCTCTCTGGGTCCGGTATATAGGAGGGTGTTTTTGGTTTGAGGGTGAGTGCATGGACTGCCTGTAACTTGAGCCCCTGGAGACGTAGCTGTGATGGGCTGTGTCTCTCTTGGGAGCAGATGGGGTCTTTGCCTTGAAATGAATCCCTCCCCAAGTCAAGCCCCAGACACACGCTCTTCCCCCAGCCACAGGCGCTGACCCCCACCTCTCCCTGGGGGGCTACGAGGACGGAGGCGTCCGGGTGCTGTGTCGATCGGCCGGCTGGTACCCACTGCCGCAGCTGCTGTGGAGGGATGCTCGTGGGCAGCACCTGCCCTCGGTCTCCCAGACACATTCCCAGGACCAGGAGGGGCTCTTTGAAATCGAAGGTGCCGTCATCGTGACCGGGAGCATAGAGGGGCCCTTGTCCTGCGTGGTCAGGAGCAGCCGCCTCCAGCAGGAACGGGAATCATCCCTGCACATCGCAGGTACAAAAGGCACAGCCAGGGTGAGGCCCATGTACTTGTCCCGACCCTGGAGAAGTCTGGGTCTTCCTCTTCCAGCAACGTGCATGGAAACACAGCCCTTTTCCTGGTGTCTTTTCTCAGCTCCCTTCTTCCACAATGCCCAGCCCTGGATGGTGGCTCTGGCTCTGGTCCTGGTGCTATCGGCTGTGTCCATTGGCCTCGGTGTTTATCTCTTTGTAAAGAAAAGTAAGTTAGCAGTGCAGGAATTGAGCGGAGGGAGGTGTTCTGCAGGGACCCCCCTGGGTGTGGAGTGGGGCTGAGCCCTGGCCCAGGGAGGTGTGTAGGAGGAGGAAGGGAATGTTCTCCTGGGGATGCCAAAGGCCTTAGGATCGTCTTGGGTGGGAGGCCAGGGAACATGGCTGCAGCGTGGGGCTGGTGGCAAGGCGCAGCCCCCCTGCACATGTTCCCACCCAGCAACCAAGCTGCTCTGCTCACCACCTGTTCCTCCGCCTTTGCTTTTCAGCGGCACAGAGCCGAGAGCTGGGTGAGTCCTTGCAGTCCCTGCCCCCAGCCCCTGGGGAAGTGGTGTCTGTGTGGGAGGGCCTGGTCTGGGTGGGCTCTGGGGGCTTGTGTGCTGGTGGCTCAGGGGTGCTGGAGGAGCAGCTGGAGCCTGGGGTGGGAGTGGGGAGTGCTGGGGCTGGGGCTGCCCTGGGCATGGGACACGGCCGGGATGGCTGAAAGGAACGGGGATCAAGGTGGGGACGGGGAGCGAGCTGCGGGGCTGCCCCGCTCTGCACTGATGCTTTCGGGAGACAGGCATCCTCCACAATGACTATTTCTTTAGTCCCACCTCTGATCAAGGCAGTGTTTTTCCTTGTCATGGGATCTGTTCTGGGTCTACCATGGGCTAAGCAACTCTCCCCTCATGCATTACTTTCATACCCATCATACATTACTTTCCTTTCCTTTTCAGAGAAACGATCTGCAGAGCTGGGTGAGTGTCACAGAGATTGGCCCCCAAGGCCAAGCCAAGGCGATGTGCAGGGGAGGGTGGGCAGCTGGGACACAGCAGCCCGGGGATGGCCCCTCACCCTGCCCACACCCACTGGGCACCACCTGTGGGTTGTGACCAGCTCTCCCCTCTCCTTACAGCATGGAGAAAGTTTCTGCTGCCTCACAATACAGGTAGGTGTGTGTTGGGTTGCCCTCTGAGGTGCTTCTCCTGCCCTTGCTGGGGCATGTTCAGCAGCCCAGAGGTGCCCCATCTCCTGCCCCGTGGGGCAGCTCCTGGCCCCGAGCTGGGGAAAGCCTGCCCAGGGCTGAGCTCTGCCCCTGATGGCCTGGCTCCTTCTGTCCCTGCAGTGAAGGTGACCCTGGATCCACGCACGGCTCATCCCCACCTTGTTGTGTCTCAGGACAACAGCAGTGTGAGACGGGAAAGTGAATGGCAGAAGGTTCCTGAAACACCAGAGAGATTTAACAATAGGAGCTGCGTGCTGGGCTGTCAGGAGTTCAGAGAGGGGAGGCACTGCTGGTTGGTGGAGGTGGAGGGAGAGCGGCTAAAGGATTCACGGTGGGCTGTGGGGGTGGCCAGGGCTTTTCTGGAGAGAAAGAAGTGGATCTACAGGAGCCCTGAAGAAGGGATCTGGGCTGTGCAGTACGACGAAGGACAGCTGATTTCTCTCACGTCTCCTCCCACTCCCTTGTCCCTATCCCCTGTCCCCGCAAGGATCTGGGTCTGTCTGGACTGTACCCAGGGGCAGGTGTCTTTTATCAACTCTGACAATGGGGTCCAGATCTTCACTTTCAGGGCAGCCTCCTTCAATGGGGAGAGCATCCGCCCCTGGTTCTGGCTGAGGACAGAGGGAATTCAGCTGTGCCTGAGGGACAGCACCCCCTAGACCCTCTCCCCAGGCCTGGGGAGCTCCATCCCTCCCCAAGACACTCCTGCATCACCTCTCCTTGATTCTGCAGGAGCAGCACAGAAATGAAGGGCAGTGGGGCCAGGGGCTCTCCTTTATTCCTCCCTGCTGCTGGGGGAAGGCTGGGATTCTAAAACCAGGGGCCAGGCCCCTTGCAGCCCCTGGGCTCTGCCCTGCATGCGGCTCCTGTGCTGGGGCACAAGCCCTGCTGGCACCCACGGCTCTCACCCTGCCTCTGAGCCCCAGCGGGCAGCACAGGGGCTGCAGCAGCTCTCCACGCTCCTCTCCCCTCTGCTTGCACTGCTTGCAGACCCCAGGGCAAGGGATGTGGTCACTGTGTGCTGCCGGCCATTGCAGGCCACCTTTGCCTCCTAGTTTGGGGTTGATCTTTGCTCTGTGCCTGGTGCTGAGCATGAGCAGTCTGTGGGGGCTCTGTGTTCCCTCCTCTGGAGCACATCAAGGCCCAGCAGCAGCAGGACTGTGACAAATAAAGTTTTGCTCAGGAAGATGGAGTCTGGCACTGGCATTTCCTGGGTGCTTTGTGTCCTGAGGCCTTGCTGCCTGGGAAGACGTCTTGCAGCAGACCGTCTCCTCACACGCCTTGCCCTGCAGAGCCTTCGCCGTCCTTGTAGCCCTCCCTTGGAGGCTCTCGCACAGTTTCACGCCCTTCGTCTGCTGCGGTGCCCGGAGCTGCACGCAGTGCTTGAGGCGAGGCCGCAGCAGGCCGAGCAGAGCGGGACGATCCCTTCCCTTTGGGGTCCCATGCCATGGCCCCCACACACCTGCTCCTCTTTGTGAGACACCGTAGGACTGTGTGAGCCTCTGCCCTGTCCCCAGAACACTGCAGAGACACCAGAGGGGTTTGTGGAGCATCTTTATTGTCAGCACCACAGCATCGGGTCTGAGATGGGGCCAAACGGGAGCCACCGGTGCCAGGAGGTGTCCATCTGGGGGTCCTCAGATGCTGCCTGGGGAAGGGGGGGACACACAGGGGGAGAGATGGGGAAATTTGCCCCTTGCCAATGGGGACGGGGATGGGGACACCGTTACCTGCGGGGTAGTTGTCTCCAGGGAGGGGAGTGTAACCTGCGGGGTGGAGAAGAGGAGTGAGCAGAGTCCTCGTCGTCCTTGACCACAGCCCCAGCTGTCCACGGACACTCACCCGGGGCAGGAGGCCTGGCCTTGTAGCGCTAGATGCCGGCGAGAAATAAGTCAAGTCCCAGCACCATCAGCACAGTGGCCACCGCCACCAGTATCGTCACCTCCGGCATCAGTCCAGGACCTGCGGGGACACGGCCAGGTGAGTGGCAGCAAGGAGCCAAGACCGCCGGCCTCAGGATGCGGTCCTGCGCCTCTCCACTCACTCCAGTCCTCCAGGAGAGGCTCCTGCAGGCTGACATGCTGCACCGAGCACGTGTAGGTGTCGCCTGCCACCGGGGCCACCAGCAGGGACATCTGCGTCTGGTAGCTCCAGTCGCCGTTGGGGATGGCGGAGATGGGGTTGTAGTCGTCGGGCTCCACGATGTCCCCGTTGTGCAGCCAGATGACGGTCACCTCGGGGGGGTAGAAGCCCCAGATGTGGCATCTGAGGCTCACGGGCACACGGGCGTTCCCTGTTTCCACGGGGATGATGCGGACTTGGGGCTGCGCTGGAGCAGGGTTGGGGATGGGGTCAGTGGTGGGCGAGCCCCTTTCCCCTGCCCTGTGCAACGTCCCCACGCAATGCTGTGCAATGCTCCCGTGCAATGCTCCTGTGCAATGCTCCCGTGCAAAGCTCCACGCAACTTCCCCATGCCATGTTCCGTGCAACACTCCCATGCAACACTCCCATGCAACGCCCTGTGCAAGCTCTAAGCATTGTCCCATGCGATGTCAAATGCGACATCCCCATGCAATGCCCTGTGCAACGCCCCTGTGCCACACTCTGCAAGAGGTATTGCTCTCTTCAACATCCCCTTGCAAAGGGCAATGCTATGCCCTGTGCAGTGCTCCGTGCAACATCTCCCTGCGACATCCTCATGCAGTGTGCTCTGCAAACCCCCCATGCAATGCTACACCTTGCCAAGGCAATCAGCTCCAGGGCAGACTCTTTCTGCAACGCTGCAGGGGATAAGACAGGTAGGGCTATTTTTTCCTGGCATCAAGCCCACTTGAGGGAGCTGCCAGGACCCAGCAGCCCTCACCAGGGAGGCTGATGAGGCATAGGCAGAGCCAGCAGGGCCCCCTACCCCACCCGTTCAAACTCTGCCCCTGGGGAGTGCAACGACCAGGAACGTGGCGACCATGGTGGGCAAACAGGGCACATCAGAAGGCAGAGGCAGGCAGTTCACGCAGGCAGGGTGAGCAGGGAGGGCAGAGTGTTCCCCCCCACCCATACGAACACCTCCTCTAACGGCAGTCTACTGCTAGCTAGCCTGCAACAGTCTCCACCAGGCACAGTGCTCTCTCTAGCAAGTATGTACACACTGCCCACTCAGAAATGCACCAGTGCAGGTCTCTGCGTGCAGGGAGCATCTGAGCCTCTTGCTGCCATCTGCGGGAGGCAGAGAGACTGTGTGTGCGTGAGGTGAGAGCAGGTGGATGACTTGGTCTGCCTGGTGGCAGAACTCAAGGAGGAGGTGGAGAGGCTGAGGGCTATCAGGGAGTGCGAGTGAGAGATAGAGTGGTGGGGCAATTCCCTGCGGGGCCTGAAGGAGAGGTACCGGGGTGAGACACCCCAAATGGGGGTGGACCCCCTCCCCTGTCGCTCTCATGCAGAGGGATGGGACCTAGGAGTTGAGGAGGAATGGAGACAGGTCCCTGCTCGACATCACAGGCGATGACACCCCCTGCCAGCCCCACCTTCCCAGGTGCCCTTACACAACAGGTTTGGAGCTCTGGAGCTTGACGGACCGGTAGCTGAGGAAGAGGTAGAAAGTGTAGCTAGGAGCATGCTTACACTCAGGAAGTCGACTCCACGCCTCAGGACTGCCTCCACCAGGACGGAAAGAAGGGAGATTGTTGTAGGCGACTCCCTTCTCAGGGGAACAAAGGGCCCTAATTGTCAGCCTGACCCTAGCTGTAGGGAAATCTGCTTCCTCCCAGGTGCCAGGGTCAAGGAAATTGCCAGAAAACTTCCCAACCTGGTTTGCCCCTCTGACCTACTATCCCCTTTGATAGTCCAGGCTGGCAGTGATGACATTGAAGAGAGAAGCCTGAAGGCTATCAAAGGGGACTTTAGGGGACTGGGGCGGTTAGTGGATGGAGACGGAGTAAAGGTGGAGCAGATCTCCACACTGCAGCCCATGGAGGAGCCCCCGGTGCAGGAGGTGGAAGGGGCCTGGAGGAGTCTGCAGCCCATGGAGAGCTGCAGGAGCAGGCCCCAGGCCAGAGCCACAGCCCATGGAGAGGAGCCCCCACAGGATCAGGAGGTCTGGGGGGAGCTGCAACCCATGGGTTACCCAGATTGGAACAGTTTGCTCCTGACGGATGTACCTCATACTACAGACCCACACTGGGGCAGTTGCTGGAGAGCTGCTGCCTGTGGGAAGCCCATGTAGGATCAGATAGAGGAAGGACGGCATCCCATGGGAGGAGTTGTGCACTCGGCTGAGGGTGGAAAGGCCTTGCAAGGAGATCTGGACAGATTGGAGAGTTGGACAATCACCAACTGCATGAAGTTTAACAAAGGCAAGTGCCAGGTCCTGCACCTGGGATGGGGCAACCCTGGCTATATGTACAGACTGGGGGATGAGACACTGGAGAGCAGCCCTGCAGAGAGGGATCTGGGGGTTGTGGTTGACAGCAAGATGAACATGAGCCAGCAGTGTGACCTGGTAGCCAGGAGGGCCAACCGTATCCTGGGGTGCATCGAGCACGGCATTGCTAGTCGGTCGAGGGAGGTGATTGTCCCGCTCTACTCTGCACTCTGCGGCCACACCTCGAGTACTGTGTGCAGTTTTGGCCACCACAGCACAAGAAGGAAGTGAAACTGTTGGAGAGTGTCCAGAGAAGGGCCACAGAGATGTTGAAGGGCCTTGAGGGGAAGATGTATGCCTTCAGCCAGTTCTCTTAGTACTCTGGGATGAATCCCATCAGGCCCTATAGTCTTGTATGCATTCATCTGGAGCAGAAAATCCCACACAAACTCGGAGTTGTTGAGATTTTATCGTTCCTGCAGTCACTGTCCTCCAGCTCAGGGCACCTGGAGTCCCACAGCCCAGCATCAGTCTTAAAGGCAAAGAAAGCATTAAAGATCTCTGTGAAGTCGATGACTCTGTTGGACCATCCGCATCTAGTAACAGACCAATGCTTTCTCTCATCCTACTTTTCCTGTTAAGAGAGTTTTAAAAAAAGCATTTTATTGCCCCTCACGGTACTGTCCAGCTTCAACTCAAATTAAGTTTTGGCCATATGAATTTTCTCCCTACAAAGGCAAACAGTACCTCTGTAGTCCTTCCATGTTGCCTGACTTCCCTTCCAGCAAACAGAAACTTTCCTCATCCACCTACGATCTAGAAGAAGGTCCCCTCCTATCTGAGCCAACCTTCTACCACGGCTGCTTTACTGGAGCCGGGAGAGGCACTGGCATTTTGCCTTCAGCACCCTGGGTAAAGGGTGGCAGATCTGGGCTCGACACCCAGCTGTGCCCCATTCCCTGCAGCCTCCAATCCTGCTCAGCTCTTCACTGCCATCTCTCCACATTTTCCCATTGCTCACAGTTTGATTCCTCCTTACATGCATGGAGATGAACGACCTTAGCCAGTGGCTTTCCCTGGAGGTCTGGAGAGGCCCCTACTGGGGACAAGCACCTCGTGCTTGCTAAAGGCAGTGGACTGGGCACCCAGCTGCAATGGGATGGTGGTGCCAGCCCTGCAGAGCTCCCCAGACATTGCCCAAAGACAGAGTTGCTCCAGGAGTGTTATTGCAGCCAGGAACTGGGCAAAGGTTGGGAAAGTTGGGCGGAGCCTTGTGCTTTCGGCAGCTCTGCTGGGTGCCGTGAGGGAGATCTAACTTGGCTTGGAGAAAAACACCTGGGGGGCCACCTGCCCCCTGAGGGACCTCAATCTCCGATGGGGCTCCCCTGGGGCTGTGGCTGCCCCAACCTCACCACCTATGCCAGGGGCCTCCTGACTTTCCTCGTCACTCTACTGGGCTCAGGTAGGATCCTGCGGGGCTGCTGGGGGCTCTCCCTATTTGCCTGAGAGACGTGCTGCTGTGGGGCAGGGGAGAGGCTGTGGGACAGGGGGGACCCAAGCCCACAGCTCGCCCGCGCTGGGTTTCACTTTCACTTTGGTTCTTTCACGCAATATGGCTGCTGCCTTGCCTGCCCTTTCTGTGTCTCCTTCACCCGCCCGAATGCTGCAGAGAGGGCTCCCACTCCCAGCACACCTCCTTCTCCTGCACGTCCTCCCTCTCCCTCTCCTGTTTCCCTGGTGGTTTCCCACAATACACAGGGGACGCAGCACGCACCAACTCACACACAGCTCGCCCTTTGTCACTCACTGCCCCTAAATTTATGATGGCAAAATCTCACCACCTCTCTGTGCCCTTCTCCATTGCCCAGCCCAGCTCACAGTGGTGGGAACAGGACACCCTGTCACTGCCACTGTGGGGCAGGATGTCGTGCTGCCCTGCCACTTGTCCCCTCAACGCGATGCTCACAGCTTGGACGTCAGGTGGATCCGGGACCATATCTCTGAGACAGTGCACCACTACCGCAATGGACAGGACCTGTACAGGGAGCAGATGGGGGCATATGCCGGGAGGACAGAGTTGCTCAGAGATGGTCTCTCTACTGGAAGGCTGGACTTGCGAATCACAGGGCTGAGACCCTCTGATGATGGCCAGTACGTCTGCACTGTGGGAGATGCTGATGCTTATGCTGAAGCCATTGTGGAGCTGGAGGTGTCAGGTTAGTGGCTGGGGTGATGCTGCCAGGGCAGAGTTTACATGTCCTTTGAATGTTTCAGCTGTTTCACAGCATGGAGCATGCCCATGGATGTGGAGGTAATATCTGGGGAGAGAGCTCCCTGTATAGTTTTGTCAGTTTTCAATGGTGTCATTGAAGACAATAATCATAATATTGTGAGGGCACTGGGCACAGGCTGCTGAGCAGCACCTTCAGCTGTGTCAGCAATGGGACCAAACAGCACACAGGGAGAATTGCAGAATCCTCTGTGCAGCTGGACGTCTGCTTTACTTTTGCTTTCTGTGCTGGGGGAGACCTGAGACATTGTCTGGAAGTCTTGGGGCTTCTTGAACCAGCACAGCTTGGTGCAGAGACACTGCCTGGAGGTGCTCAAGCTCAGCACTTGGGTTTTCTGGGCAATTTCAAGCCACTGGAATTGTGCAGCCTTGCTCTCTGGGTCCGGTACATAGGAGGGTGTTTTTGGGTGAGAGTGAGTCCATGTAGCACCCAGTCCCAGAGACCCTTGGACCATGACTGGTCTGGGCTGTGTCTGACATGGGAGCAGATGGGGTCTTTGCCTTGGAACTGAATCCCTTCCCAAGTCAGTCCCCAGGGACATTTTTATTGACCTTCTTGGTAACTGGGGTAACGTTTGACTGCTTAAATTTAAAGACCAAAGAACCCTTGAGATAGAATTTGGAAAGGTCTCGAGATGACATTATGCAGCTCTGCATTGTCCCAATGCTCACTGTTTGATTCCTCCTTAGATGGGTGGAGATGAATGAGCCTAGACAGTGGCTTTCACTCGAGCTCTGGAGAGGCCCCTGTTGGGGACAAGCCCCTCTTACTTGCTGAAGGTGTTTGACTGGGCACGCAGCTGCAGTGGAATGGTGGTGCTGACACACAGAAAAGACTCCACAACCATAAGGTTTTAAAGTAGGTATACATTTTTGCGGTACACCAGGCACATTGGGAATTGATTCCCTCAAAAAGAGCACTGTTACATATTACATGAGCTCTAATACATATTCATTATTTTCCCCTGTCCTGGTTTCAGATAGGCTAGAGTTAATTTTCCTCCTAGTAGCTGGTAGGGTGCTATGTTTTCTATTAGGATGTGAAGAGTGCTGATAACATGCTGATGTTTTAATTGTTGCAGAGCAGTGCTTACACCAAGCCAAGGATGTTTCAGCTTCTCGCTCTGTCCTGCCAGAGTGCAGGCTAGGGGTGCATCAGGAGCTGGGAGGGGACAGACCCAGGACAGATAACCCCAACTGGTCAAAGGGGTATTCCGTATCATTTCGGATCATGCTAAACAATCTGTAGGGGTGGCTAGCTGGGGGGGGTGGGAGCAGACTGCTCGGGGTTAGGCTGGGCATCGGTCAGTGGGTGGTGAGCATTGTGCATCATTTGTTTCGTACACACTGTTAGTAGTAGTACTATTATTATTCTTGTTGTTGTTATTATTATTTTCCTGTCTTAATAAACTGCCTTTATCTCAATCCACAGGCTTCACTTCACGGTTCTCTCCGTGATCCCAGAGAAGGAGGGTGGAGAATGAGCGAACGGCTGTGTGGTGTTTAGCTGCCAGCCAGGTTAAACCACAACATCTCGGAAAAGGCGGACCTCTTCCAAATGCTCATTTCCATACTCCCCTCCCTATAGCTCCTCCAGGTTGCGTCTGTGCAATGTAGCCTGGTGGTTGTGGGCAGGGGTCTTTCAGGATGAAGGCAAAGAGGAAGAGGAGGTCAAACTTTTTACCTTTCTGGACTTTGACCTTCTGTTGGACAGTATTGAGGAGTTTTTTGCTTATCTTTGCCTGGCTTCCAGCCAACAAGTTGTTTGTCCTTCCCTAACGACTTGTTTGTCCTTCCCTCATCCGTTGGCCTTGAGCGATATCTTACTTTTTACATCTGCTTGTCATAAGGTTCTCATCTGCATCCCCAATAATCAGGATATTTTACCATATATGTAGATAAATATTAATTCAGATCACTTTTAGCATCTTCCGCATCTCAGTGGCAGGCATGCAGAACTCCCCAGACACTTGTCCCCACTGCTCCAGGGCCAGAGCTCCTCCTAGACGATTATTGCAAACAGGAAGTGGGACAAGGCTTGTGAAGTTGGGCGTAGCCCTGTGCTTCCTGCAGCATCGTTGGGTGCTGTGAGGGACCTCGCTCTTTTGTTGGGGTTCCCTTGGAGAAGAACACCTGGGGGGGCCATCTGCCCCCTGGGAAACCTCTCTCTCAGATGGGGCTCCCCTGGGACTGTGGCTGCCCCAGTCTCACCAGGCATGCCAGGAGACTTCTGACTTCCCTCATCACTCTGCTCCTCCTACAGCTGGGCTCAGGTAGGATCCTGCAGGGCTGCTGGGGGCTCTCCACCTTTGGCTGAGAGACTTGCTGCTGTGGGGCAGGGGAGCGGCTGTGGGAAAGGGGGGACCCAAGCCCACAGCTTGCCCGCGCTGGGTTTCACTTTCACTTTTGTTATTTCACGCAATATGGCTGCTGCCTTGCCTGCCCTTTCGCTGTCTCCTTCACCCGCCCGAATGCTGCAGAGAGGGCTCCCACTCCCAGCACACCTCCTTCTCCTGCACGTCCTCCCTCTCCCTCTCCTGTTTCCCCGGTCATTTCCCATGGGACACGGGGGACGCAGCACGCACCAACTCATGCACCAACTCATGCCCTTTGTCACTCACTTCCCCTAAATTTACGATGGCAAAATCTTACCTCCTCTCTGTGCCCTTCTCCATTGCCCAGTGTGAGAAACAACTCAAATAATTTTCTTCAGACTGGATCTTCTGTGACGCTCTTTTATTCATGATTGCAACGGTCCTGTCAATTAGGTGCACATTTTAGTAAACAAATCATAACCTTTTATTCCCTATTACCCGACGCCTGATCACCTCCCCTGTTTGCTCATTAGCTGAGTACTACAGGTTCACAAGCTACTCAACACTCCTCTATACCATATTTGTATAATTTTTCTTCTTTTTTTTTTTTTCAACACTTTAATTTCTCCTTTCTTATGTTTTGAGAACTTGTGATCTTGTATTACTGTTCTCACACTGCTCATCCTGTTTTTCTAAAGCTTCTACCTTATTTTGGAACAATGAGGCCTTCTGTCGTTCACTTATCTACTTAGCATTTCTCCTTCTTATGACTACACAATTACCCTGGAATACAGAAAAATAATTCTCTACTGCAAAAACAACATTGTTTGTCACAACAGCGCAGCTCAGAGTGGTGGGACCAGGACACCCTCTCACTGCCACCGTGGGGCAGGATGTCGTGCTGCCCTGCCACTTGTCTCCTCAACGCGATGCTCGCAGCTTGGAGGTCAGGTGGATCCGGGACCAAATCTCTGAGACAGTGCACCACTACCGCAATGGAGAGGACCTGTACGGGGAGCAGATGGGGGCATATGCCGGGAGGACAGAGTTGGTCAGAGATGGTCTCTCTGCTGGAAGCCTGGACTTGCGAATCACAGGACTGAGACCCTCTGATGATGGCCAGTACTTCTGCACTGTGGGAGATGCTGATGCTTATGCTGAAGCCATTGTGGATCTGGAGGTGTCAGGTTAGTGGCTGGGTTGAGGCATTCAAGGGATGGTGCAGCTGTCCCCGGGTCTGTGTGTCCCACGCAGGACCCGGTCCCACCTTCATGGCCATCTACGAGGCCTTTCTCACAGTAGAGTGTGATGAGGCTTCTCCTATGTCAGTGAGCACTTGTCCACCAAGAAGTACACCTGTGCCCTTGCAGGTTTTTTATTGAGAGAGAGCTGCATGAATGCAATGATTTAATTCAGTCTCAGGGACCCTCATTGAACTCCATCCCCATGCTGTTGTGTGGGCAGTGGGCACAGGTTGCTGAGCAGGTCCTTCAGCTGTGCCAAGAGTAGGTGTGGGTTAGGGGTAAGAGTGGCTCCTTGAAGCATCCAGTCCCTGAGCCCCTGGGGTCATGGCTGGTCTGTGCTGTGTCTCGCATGGGAGCTGATGGGGTCTTTGCCTTGAAATGAATCCCTCCCCAAGTCAAGCCCCAGACACGCGCTCTTCCCCCAGCCACAGGAACTGACCCCCACCTCTCCCTGGGGGGCTACGAGGCCGGAGGTGTCCGGGTGCTGTGTCGATCGGCCGGCTGGTACCCGCTGCCGCAGCTGCTGTGGAGGGATGCTCGTGGGCAGCACCTGCCCTCGGACCCCCAGACACATTCCCAGGACCAGGAGGGGCTCTTTGAAATCGAAGGCGCCGTCATCGTGACCGGGAGCGTGGAGGGGCCCTTGTCCTGCGTGGTCAGGAACAGCCACCTCCAGCAGGAGAGGAAATTTTCCCTGCACATTGCAGGTACAAAAGGCACAGCCAGGGTGAGGCCCATGTACTTGTCCCGACACTGGAGAAGTCTGGGTCTTCCTCTTCCAGCAACGTGCATGGAAACACAGCCCTTTTCCTGGTGCCTTTTCTCAGCTCCCTTCTTCCACAACGCCCAGCCCTGGATGGTGGCTCTGGCTCTGGTCCTCGTGCTTTTGGCTGTGTCCATTGGCCTCAGTGTTTACCTCTTTGTAAAGAAAAGTAAGTTGGCAGCGCAGGAATGGAGCGGAGGGAGGTGTTCTGCAGGGACCCCCCTGGGTGTGGAGAGGGGCTGAGCCCTGGCCCAGGGAGGTGTGTAGGAGGAGGAAGGGAATGTTCTCCTGGGGATGCCAAAGGCCTTAGGATCGTCTTGGGTGGGAGGCCAGGGAGCATGGCTGCAGCGTGGGGCTGGTGGCAAGGCGCAGCCCCCCTGCACATGTTCCCACCCAGCAACCAAGCTGCTCTGCTCACCACCTCTTCCTCCGCCTTTGCTTTTCAGTGGCACAGAGACGAGAGCTGGGAGAGTCCTTGCAGTCCCTGCCCCCAGCCCCTGGGGAAGTGGTGTCTGTGCGGGAGGGCCTGGTCTGGGTGGGCTCTGGGGGCTTGTGTGCTGGTGGCTCGGGGGTGCTGGAGGAGCAGCTGGAGCCTGGGGTGGGAGTGGGGAGTGCTGGGGCTGGGGCTGCCCTGGGCACGGGACACGGCTGGGATGGCTGAAAGGAACGGGGATCAAGGTGGGGACGGGGAGCGAGGTGCGGGGCTGCCCCACTCAGCAGTGATGCTTTCGGGAGACGGACATTCTCCAAGAATCCTTTATTCACTTCTGTAATGGCTTCAGTGGCACAAAGATAAAAGTTGCACAAGTGTCTGTCCTTACAGTTCTGCTTACAAGAGCATTGTACAAAGCTGGACCACAATGACTATTTCTCTAGTCCCACCGCTGATCAAGGCAGAATTTTTCCCTGTCATGGGATGTATTCAGGGTCTCCCACGGGCTAAGCAACTCTCCCCTCATGCATTACTTTGATACCCATCATACATTACTTTCCTTTCCTTTTCAGAGAAACAAGCTGCAGAGCTGGGTAAGTCTCACTCTCCAAACAGAAAAAAACAATAAAAAAATGGCATCATAGTGAGAGATATGGAATCAGAAACTGTGCTTTCTTCTCATGTTTTCCTTTTCTATTTCATTTGTAGAGAAACAAGCTGCAGAGCTGGGTAAGTCTCCTGGTGTTCAGACCCAAGGGCAACACCAAGGCGATGTGCAGGGGAGGGTGGGCAGCTGGGACAGAGCAGCCCAGGGCTGGCCCCTCACCCTGCCCACACCCACTGGGCACCAGCCGTGGGCTGTGACCAGCTCTCCCCTCTCCTTCCAGCATGGAGAAAGTTTCTGCTGCCCTCACTATAAAGGTATGTGTGTGTTGAGTTGCCCTCTGTGGTGCTTCTCCTGCCCCTGCTGGGGCATGTTCAGGAGCCAAGAGGTGCCCCATCTCCTGCCCCGTGGGGCAGCTCCTGGCCCCGAGCTGGGGAAAGCCTGCCCAGGGCTGAGCTCTGCCCCTGATGGCCTGGCTCCTTCTGTCCCTGCAGTGAAGGTGATCCTGGATCCGGATGCGGCTCATCACATGTATGTCCTGTCTCAGGACAACAGCAGAGTAAGACTGGAAAGTGAACGGCAGCAGAATCCTGACACACTGAAGAGATTTGACGATAGGTGCTGTGTGCTGGGCCGTGAGGCTTTCAGAGAGGGGAGGCACTGCTGGTTGGTGGAGGTGGAGGGAGAGCAGATAAAGGATTCAGTGTGGGCTGTGGGGGTGATCAAGTCTTCTGTGGAGAGAACGGAAGGGGCAATGACAAGGTTTTTCGGAGACAAATGGGCTGTGCAGTACTATGAGAGGAAGCTCGTGTCTCTCACATCTCCTCCCACTCCCTTGTCCCTGTCCCCTATCCCCACGAGGATCTGGGTCTGTCTGGACTATACCCAGGGGCAGGTGTCTTTCATCAACGCTGACAATGGGGTCGAGATCGTCACTTCAGCAGCCTCCTTCAATGGGGAGAGCATCTACCCCTGGTTCTGGATAAAGACACCGGGAATTCAGCTGTGCCTGAGGGACAGCACCCCCCAGATCTCGTCCCCAGCCCTGGGGAGCTCCGGCCCTTCTCCAGACACTCCTGCATCACCTCTCCTTGGTCCTGCAGGACCAGCACAGGAATGAGGGGCAGTGGGGACAGGGGCTGCCCCCGTGTTCCTCCCTGCTGCTGGAGGAGGGCTGGGATGCTGCAAGCAGGGGCCAGGCCCCTTGCAGCCCCTGGGCTTTGCCCTGCACGTGGCTCCTGTGCTGGGGCACAAGCCCTGCTGGCACCCACGGGTCTCACCCTGCCTCTGAGCCCCAGCGGGCAGCACAGGGGCTGCAGCAGCTCTCCACGCTCCTCTCCCCTCTGCTTGCACTGCTTGCAGACCCCAGGGCAAGGGATGTGGTCACTGTGTGCTGCTGGCCATTGCAGGCCACCTTTGCCTCCTAGTTTGGGGTTGACCCTTGCTTTGTGCCTGGTGCTGAGCATGAGCAGCCTGTGGGGGCTCTTTGTTCCCTCCTCTGGAGCACATCAAGGCCCAGCAGCAATAGGACTGTGGCAAATAAAGTTTTGTACAGGAAGATGGAGGTCTGCAGTGGCATTTCCTGGGTGCTTTGTGTCCCTGAGGCCTTGCTGCCTGGGAAGGCGTCTTGCAGCAGACCGTCTCCTCACACGCCTTGCCCTGCAGAGCCTTCGCCGTCCTTTGTAGCCCTCCCTTGGAGGCTCTCGCACAGTTTCACGCCCTTCGTCTGCTGCGGTGCCCACAGCTGCACGCAGTGCTCGAGGTGAGGCCGCAGCAGGCCGAGCCAGAGCGGGATGATCCCTTCCCTCGGCGGCCAGCAGTGCGTGACTGAGGCACCCCAGGGCACGCTTCGCCCTTTGGGGTCCCATGCCATGGCCCCCCCACACCGATAATCTTGGTGAGACACTGTAGGAGTGCGTGACCCTCTGCCCTGTGCCCAGAACTCTTCACAGACACCAGTGGGGCTTGTGGAGCATCTTTATTGTCAGCACCATGACATTGGGTCTGAGATGGGGCCAACGGGAGCCACCG